TTTTTCTTTTTTTTTTTTTTTTTCGGTGGGAAAGACGGCGGCCAGGCGAATCCCAGGCATCGGGGATTCATTTATTCGTGAAAGTATTGGCCGGCTGTAATTTCGGGGATTCCCCGCGCTCGTTTAAAATGCAGCGACCCGTTTAATTAGGGGCCATCGAGCGGTGGACCGGGCGCCGGCAAAATCGGCTCGTCTCGGACGTCGGATAAATCACTCGTCGAGGGACTCCGCGACGGGACGGGGAAAGAAAAAAAAAAAAAAAAAAGGAAGAGAAAAAAGGGGAAGAGGGTTCACCTCCTCCAAGTGAAATTATCTCGCGAAACGCGAGGCAACGCTCGTCGTCGCGGAGGTGTGAAAACTTTCAAAGTTTTTTTCGAAATTTACTCGATTTCGGATCTAAACGTCGCGACCGTGCAGAGAATTCTATCCTGTAAATCGAATTTGCTTGGTGATAATTCAACATAAAATAAAAACCGATGAAATTTATGAAAATTATAATATGGAAAAGGGATCGTAAGAAGATCGCTCGAAGATTGAAAGAAACAGCTAAAGTAAAGGAATATTATTATTGCTTACTTCTCTAAAATGTATAATGAATAAACAATGAGCATATTATTAATATAAGATAGATTAGAATTAATCCATAAATGGCTAGATTAAAGAATCTTAAGTCAAGTGACGAGCCTGTTCGATTGGACATGTACATCATGGGCGGTTATAAACAAAATTAATTTTAGTAGTTTTGCAAAGTTTTGTAAATAAAATATGGCGGTAAAAAAAAAGTAGAAAGTTTCTACTTTTCATATATCCAACTTTTATTGCGTGGAACGAGGTGGAACATAAAAAAAAAATATCGATAAGTCATCACATTTGTGAATTTCTGAACACGAAGTAATTAATTTTAACCTCAATTTACAAAAAGATAAAAAACTTATTGATAATTTATAAAATTGAAATTTAAATATTTTTTAATAAATTTGCAGAATATTTTTCAACGATTGAAACGTGATCGATCAGTTATAAATTAATTCCTTGCCTATCTCTAAACGTTTAAAAAGAGAATTAAAAATTATTATACATTACATTGAAACGATTATTTTTTACAAATTTGAAAATGAATTTTGTCCACTTAATTATTCGAACCAATGTGCGACGCTGTAAGAATGAAATTTTTCGCTTAGCAGCTCATGAAATCTCGAATTCCTTTCCAACGATGCGAGAGCAAGTGAGAATTGATTACCGTTGGATGCAAAAAGAGCCTTAGTGATCAATCGTCAGTTTCTAAAAGAAAAAAAAAAAAAAAAAAAAAAAGAGTTTGTCGAGTATTACGAAACGTGTCGTAACTATTGATAACGAGATTCACAAAGGATATTTACAAAGAAAAGAATGTAGAATCTAATTAAATATTTCGCTCAAGAAATCTTGAATCTTCTTACATCCAACGGTACAATTCTAAAATTGCAAATGGCGTGCAAATCAAACAAATTCCACGAGGTCGAGATTCGAACGAAAGAGAGAAAGAGAGATAGAGCGAGCGAGAAAGAGAGAGAGAGAGAGAGAGAGAGAGAGGAGGGATAGGATGTTAATGGCGGGTGATTCGAGCGCAAGCCTTCGGCTGACGTTCTCAAAGGGGGAATTGCGTTACGTCGAAATGTGTGCACGCGCAAACACGCGGTCGAAAGCGAGATACGCGCGCGTGCAAGCAAAATACCGAAACCAGGCCGCAATCCCCAGGAAGGGTGCGTGCTCGAGCACATGCCACGATATTATTCCAGGCCGTGGTGTTGTCCTAGGGCTAATGAATCCGCCGATAACTCCTCCGCTCCACGAATACCGACATCTCGCGTCATCTTCCACGATTTATCGCACGAGTTCATCCTTAGATAGATTCGAGAGAAATTGTTTAAAAGCTGTAATTTTTTCGTCAAGTGTGAACAATTACATTTGGTACAGATTGATTCTCGACAATATTTACGAATCGTCATCATCGTTCCGTAAAAAAAAAAATGAAACATGGAAAGAAAGAAGAACGTTTCTGTTCTGAAGAAGAGATTGGCAATTTTTTTTTATTCGTTCTTTAAACAAGAGGCGAGCGATCTTCGTTTTATTCACGGGTTAATAATTGAATAATTTTTGGAGTGAAAGTATGAAGATTGGACGGAGGCATAGAGAGATTGGAAAGAAATTTACGAAGCTGTAGCTTTTGTTCGTTAATTGTAAATAATTATTTGGCTCTTGAATTGATTCTCGAATATTTATAATATTTTTCGAATGCGATTTGTTTACGAATCATCACCATCGTTCCATAAAAAAAAAAAAAAAATAGATGAAAGCGTTCTGTCGAAAAAAAGATTGGCAATTTTTTTTATTCGTTCTTTAAACAAGAGACGAGCGATCTTCGTTTTATTCAACGGATTAATTAAACAGTATCTGGAGTAAAAGTATGGTGATTGGACGGAAGCGTAGCGTCTTCGAGAGATCTCCCTAGACAGTGCGCAACAATGGTGGCGCAATTATTTGATAAATTAAGAGGAAAGATTGTCTGAGAACACATCCGGACATTTCCACTCCGCTTCGTTGCAATTCTCTTTTAGGAAGTAAGCTCTCTCGTACTCGGTCGTTGGATCACCGTCGTCGTAGCTCGCCGGCAATCTGAAACGTGGAAACTTCTCTGAATTATTATTAAAGAGAGGATTGTTAAAGAACATTCCATCCAAACAATATTCCGCAAACTGCTTTCGAAGGAAAATTTCGCATCGATGTGAAATCGTATCAGAGGAAAGAAACTAAACGAATTTTTCTATCCCCCTTTTCTTTTTCTCCCGAATCAACCTCTTAACCCGGGTCACTTTTCTCGAGCCTATATCTCGAAACTAAGTTCTCGAAATAACCGAGAAAAAGTTGGAAAAAAGTGTCGCGTTTCATCGCCTTCTATCGAAATAATTATCGGGAGAGGCATCTCCCGAACGAAACAACAACAAGCTCGATCGAGCCGCGGCTTCTCGCAGCGCCCGGAAACTTCATAACGATTATTATTAAAATGGAACGAGGGGGGAGAAGTTGTCGAGGAGGAATTCCGCGAGTGGCCTCGACGGGCTTTTCCCCGATGCAGCCTGGGGACGACGACGTTAAGCGCAACACCGGATGTCATGAATAAATTCAACGTGTTATCGAAAAAGTGTAACGCGACCGGCTTGTCACGCGGCGGCCCCGACTTTCGAAGAGACCAGAGCTTCTCGAGTACCGAGTTCTCGAAAAGACGGCGAGACGACACTTTGATAACGGATGCATCCGTCATCCCCTTCTCCTTCCGCATCCTCCTTCCCTGACTTTATTTCCCATTTTTCTTTAAACCTGGGACGTGGAATTTTTTAAGGAGGGGGGAAAAAGAGAAAGAAAGAAAGAAAGAAAAAATCATCGATCAACGTTCGATTAATCAATCAGCGCGTCCCCCATTTTTTACCACCTCCTCGATACCATTCTCCCCTCCCTTCCCCCTCTTTTAATCAATCTTTTCGGTAATCATCGTTTAACCATTCGATCGTTGCCCACTTGGTGATCGTCACCTTCGTCGATGCCTTCGATGAACATTTGATTAATCTGCCTTTTCCATTCGTTCCGCCATCTTCTCCCCTATTCAATATTCCATCGATCAATCTTCCATCGCGGCGGCGATCTTCCATTTTCGATCGATCCGGCTGATTGAAAAGTCCAACGAACCGCGTATAACATCGCGCCGTTTCATTTACGAGCCAACAAACGCTAATTACCCCATTCATCTTTAATCGATCTCCCTTTCCATCCACTTTGCCCGAGAACCGCCGAGATCGCGATTAATCCTTAACGAATTCGAAAGCTCCTCGTCGAATTTCGAAAGCTTTTTTTCCCTACCTCTTCTATCATTACTCGCTTACTTTCGGGCAAAAGTTATTGATTTTTACGTTCGATAAAAAAATACCAAACATCACCAAAACATCACTACCATTCGTCGTCAATCGTTCTCGCTTCTCTTTCGAAAAAGAAGGATGTATGACTCACGTGAACACAGCGTGTAGAATCTCCCTCATGAAAGGTCCTTTCCCAACGTCCCTTCGACTCCTCCCAGCCGCGTTGCAGATCGCCTTCAAAACGCATCCTCTCCCATCCTTGCCCCGGCTGGATGTGGTATGGAACAACAACAACGACAAGATGGTGGTTTAGAGGGGGAGGGTGCACGGATCGTTTATCATTATCAGCCTCGTTATCGTCCCTCGGCTGCGAGTCGTGGCTCCATTCATTAAGTTGGCGATAATACCATCGGTGCCTTGATACCGGCCAACGTTTACAACCGCTCTCCTCCTCCGCCCTTTCCAGTTAACCCCGCCCTCCTCGGCGTCCTCCCTGCCAACCCCGCTAAAACGAATACCGGCCAATTACGGAGCACCGTGGCTATCAAGGTCCCAAGGTGTGATCCGATCTATCGAGATTCTCCGAGGAAATTCGAATTTTCGAAAAAATCGAACGGGATCGAAAATATTCCTTCCTCTCGAATTCGGCAATTCGATGCGGTTTATGGCCAGAGGATGAGGATACGAAGATCCAAGGATTAGAGGAAATTGGACCGTGCGCGGTCTCGTTGAGGAAAACGCGCGTTTTTAATGGCTGTCGCCGAGATAAGGCATCGTAATTAGTTCAGGAACGGCACGTAGGGGGTGATATTTAAGGACGTAAATGCGAAATGCGTTCGGATGGGAATCGGTTGGAATATCGCGAACAGGGTGCGTGTCGCGTCGCACATGCCATCCCTTGATCCCTTTGGAAAATGAAAATATAGTTACAGTATACAATAGCGATGAAGTCGGGAGGAGGAGTTCATCGACCGATCGTAGGCGCGTAAAGAAGATCGATTCAAATTCTAAAAACGCGAAGAAATCGCATTCCATTAATTTTCTATATCTTTTCAATATTAAATAATCTTTGACAGAAGTCGAATCTTCTTTGTTCCTTTCTTGCAATATACACAGGGTGGTTCACCAGATATCATAATGCTTTTTATTATTTATTACTCGTATGAGAAATATTTCAAATGAATTTGAATGATTTTAAGAAGTATTTATATGTTGGGAAATATTTTAAGTCGAAGTAATATCCGGTTAATGTACCATCCTGTATATTCTCGGTTTACAATCAATTAATCAGTAAGGTTATGTAAATATAATGCAAATTCTTAAAACTGGGGACGCGAAGAAATCTTTTCTTTTAGAAAAATTCGAATGAAATTGTTACTCGAATTCCAAACGTTTAAGTATTCTATTAATTTTCTAGTTCCAATATTAAGTAATCTAAAGCCTAAACTAATCAGAAATGTCGAATCTTTTTCTATAATCCGTGCAATATGATTCATTAAATATCATCGATATTTTTGATTTTCATTTCTATTAAAATATAAAAAAATGTTTCAAATGGAGTTGAACGAATTTGAACTTAACTAGTAAGTTAATATCCGAAATGATATCCGATGAATATACCACCCCTTACATTCTGAGACTCGGTGTTTACGATCAAATTCTAAATGTAGATGCGAGAAATCTCTTTTTTAGAAAAATAGAATTCGATGGAAATTGTTACTCGAATTTCAAACGCTTAAGCATTCCATTAATTTTCTACTTTCAATATTAAATAATCTTTGCCAGAAACGTCGAATCTCCTTCGTTCTTTTCTAATTCCTTTCTAATTGTGTAATATACACAGGGTGGTTCACCAGATATCATGATCCGGTGCTTTTTTTTACTCGTATCAAAAATATTTCAAATGGAATTGAACGATTTCAAGAAGTACCTATTTATATGTTAATGAAATATTTTAAGTCGAAGTAATATCCGGTTAATGTACCACCCTGTATATTCTGAGAGTCGAATCAACCAATCAGTAACTATAGGTTAATAGAAATTCTCAAAATATAGGGACGCGAAGAAATTTCTTTTTTAAAAAAATAGAATTCGATGGAAATTGTTACTATTTAAGCATCGCATTAATTTTCTGCTTCCAATATTAAATTAATCTTTTTTCCAGAAACGTCTTCTTCTACAATCCATAATATAATATAATATATGCATAATGTATACAAAATGGTTCATAAGATACCAACAATTTTCATCGCTGTTATTATCCATATTTATACGACTAAAAAATGTTTCAAACGAAATTGGACGATTTTCACTTACTTGTAGTTAAGAGATATTTTAACTCGTAAGTAATATCCGGTGAATGTACCATCCCGTGCATTCTGAGGCTCGGTGTTATTAAAATTGGGACAACCGATGTTGCCGCTTGCTCGCGTTACCCTCGAATACGAAACTTCGTAGCTTCGTAGCTACACGTGGATCCGGTTAAGAAGCCGCAATCAAGAGAACAATGGGTGGAAGGGACCGGAGCGCGATCAGAGAATTCGAGAAGAGAACGGAGAATTCGAGAGAAATAATTCCGAACGAGCGGAACGTATTTCCACCAACAGTTACGGATGCATTTCCAATTGTGACAGTTTACCAATTCGCGGAGAACGTGTATTTATCGTCTCCTGCGCGAGAGAGAGAGAGAGAGAGAGAGAGAGAGAGAGAGACGATTGAAGAGGGATTGGAAGCAGAAGGAGAAATCGATTTGGAAACGTGGCGGGGGAGTAAATGAAACGAGCATAAATATAAAAATTAATCTTGACTGCCATTTTGTCGGCCGAGCGATGTAGCCACTTGACAAATGGTTACCAATATCGGCCCGATCCAAAGATATTTATGTAAGCAGTGCGCGATGCTCGACCGCGCGCGTGCAACGCTCTAGCAACCGGAAATGGCTGTATTAATCGATCGATAACGCCTCCTTTTTTTTTAGAGTTACGCGCCCGAATAATGCATCGCTGGATTCACACGTGCACATATCGTACGTAGGATTCGAACAACAACGACCAAAGGATATTACTTCTTCGTGTTTCGTTTCTTAATGAGAAAATTCATCTCGAAGAATTCGCTTCTTTTTTCTTCTTTTTTTTTCTTTTTCTTTTTGATTCCGAATAAACAAGATACTTGCGTCGTTGATGTAAAACGATCAATCTTTATCTAGTTGTTTCTAGATGGTAACGAAACTGCTTATAAAGTTTGCTTCTTTTGTCCCGAAATAATGGAATAATGGAATATTATCGTCGATCTTTCTTAACGAGAAGATCGTTCGAAGGGATGGAATTGTTGTTCTCTTCTCTCGATTCTCTTCGTCTCTGAGCAAAATAATTCGGCGATCGAATGGACTCGAATTTTATCTGTCTTGTTAGAATTTAATTCGTCGGGAGGAGGACGACAGGATTCCTCCGAAATCTATCAAATCAAATGTCATTAACGGTAAATCCTCGTGTTGAATATTCGTGTTCCTTTCTTTTTTTTAACGAGAAAATCGTCGTTATTCCCTTTTTCTCGAGGTTCCCTTCGTTCCTCTTTTCTTTCTTTTGACTTTAAACAAAACAATGCAAAATAATTCCACGGTCAAGTGGTCACGGAGTTTTTACCGTTTTTACCGATAGAAACCTAGCCTTTCTCCACCACTTGTCCGATTCTCGCTGGATAATCGCGAAAAAACGACAATGAGAAGCGGAGGAGGGTTAAGTGGCCGACGACTCTCGAGCGTCCCGATCCCTTTCCTCGTCGTCTCTCTATCGCGTACAAACGTTGACCCACGAAAATGGTGGAAGGCGATCGCGAAACGATAGAACTTCCCGTACCTTTCAACCTCAATGCACTCTATTTCCCTTTCTCTCCCTCTCTCTCTCTCTCTCTCTCTCTCTCTCTCTTTATTCGCGTACCGTTTCACCTCTTTGCTCAGAGGTCCAGGAGAAGCTGGAGGACGAAACAAAGCTCGACGCTGCCGAATCGAGCTTTCGTCGCTCGTTTCTCTGTCGATGCAAAGATTCAAGAGAGAAAGAGAGAGAGAGAGAGAGAGAGAGACAGAAAGGGTAGAGAAAAAGCTGCAGTTTTTCGCGGACCAGCCGCGATTGTGCGGTTTCGAGTCGCGTTAAAGCGGCTCCTTTCGCCACGATTCGAGCCCTTGCCTCGAGATTTCGACCGTTGGATGAACGAACGAGGTATATTGGAGAAAGTAGCCCCTTTGTTTTCACGCGAATAATGCCGCGTGTGATCGGATTAAAGAATGGAGCGCGCTTCGAGTCGAGGGTAAATCGAATTTTTAAAGCATCTGTATCGTACATCGTATCGATGATGCTTACAACTCTCGTGAAAATTTTTGTAATAGCCACCAGTCGATCGAAGTAACACTTTTTCTATCGCTTCCACACTTCCTTTTCCGAAGGATTAAATTAATTATAAATCCTTTTGAAACGTTGCTGCCGATTTCGATATCTTTCCAACGCGTTCTCGAGAGTATCTAAAACTATATATATATAGGAAGCATGTCTAAATTACACAATTAAATTTCATTGAAAATCCTCAAATCTTCAAATAGAAGAGGATAGAATGATACGGAGGAAATAAGAGTTGGTTAATTTGGTTAAAAGTTGAAGAAGACGGACAGATAAACGAAGGACGAAAGAAATCCTTGTTACTGTCTCTTCCATCTTCTTTCTTTTCTTTTCTTTTTTTTCCATCACTTACCTTGCCAAAAGTAGTTCCAACTTGCGATACAGCTCTCTTCTGCTTCGACGATGATAATCCTTGAACTTGTTGGACAGGGTGCTCTTCGAGGGCAGCTCCCATGCCTGGCCAGCCGTCAATCCGATGTTGAACATTCCTCGAGGCTTGGAGTAAGTAGTGATGGTCATGCAATACACCAGCTGCGCACGAATCGAACGATTTCGAGATCGAATCGAGAGAATGGCTTCTCGCGAGGAATATCTGGTTCGATGGTTTCTTTACTGGCTGTGCAGATTTTATATATGTATATATATATATAGAAGCATCGAGTGGAGGAGGGAAGAAGCGACGGTGTGCATTCCTGGCATGTCGATTCCAACACTTCACTCGGAAATCTTGCAACATACTGGGCTGAGATATACGATTTTCCTCCTCGAGAAGGGAGAAAAGAGCAACGAAACGCGATGGTGGTAAATTGGTAACATTCGTTGTTATTGCTATACTTTGCACGTGTTTCCTTGCATACGTGATCATTTATACATTCTATCACCCTATATTCTAATGGATCGAGAATGGAATATGGCAAAAGTCGAACAACTGTTAACCGATTAACCGATTATTCGACCAGCGACAACCCTTCATCGTGAAAACGACGTCGTTATCGAGGGTGATCCCATTTTCGCCGCAGTAAACTAGACTAAAAAAGAGCAAGGGGAGGGAGGATGGGAAGGATGGGAAGGAGCAGAGGTGTCGATGAAAATTCCGGGGTGAAAAGATGCCGACAGCAATTGGGAGATTGGAGGCGGCTTGTCGTCGTCGTCGTCCCTCGATAAAACGTCGTCCAAGTGGTTGGACGAGTCGGAAGCAACGAGGGGAAAGGGGACGAGAAATTCGTTGCTCGCGATGGAACGGCAAATTGTCGGCGTCAAAAACTTTACTTTTTTCACTCGCCCCCATCGATTCCAAAACGTTAATCCCCCTCCCCTCCCGTTCGAATTTCCGCGTTCATCATCATCAACGCGCGTTTCATCTCGGCCAATTACTCGTTGGAAGTAGCAGCACCACGCCTCTTCCCTTCCTCCTTCCACCACCCTTTTAGCGCTTAAATTTTCCATGGCTCCTCCGCCGCCCTCTCCACGAAACACTCGAGGACTCGCGAAATGCACGTTTCCTCGTGGAGCCGGGGCCGCTTATTAGAAATTATTAGGGCGTCGTTTGCATCGCAACTTCCGCCAAGTTATCCAGTTAACCGGAGGACAGACGGTGCATGCACCATTCTGACGTCGTAACCGAGTTTTCCACCATGTGAACGAAGGATGGTCGAGTAATTTCACCGGAGGGAGAGAGAGAGAGAGAGAGAGAGAGAGAGAAATATATACTCACTTGAACGTTGCTTCCTTCTGGAAACACCAAGTATTCCCCCTCGAATCCTCTCTTCCATCGTTCGATGCTCCTGTTCTCGACAGACTTCTCGCACCAAGTCCAAGCATCGCGGTTTAAGATCCACAGGGTAAAAAAGAGTAGAAGACGCATGGCGGTCGAGCGAGGAGAAATTGGTCGACGCAGGAGAATTCGGCGAACTGGCTCGCTCGCAACAGAGAGAGAGACGTTAAGTGAAATACCGGAGATGATATAATGGCGATTAGACCGTTTAGCGTTTTACGGTTTAGAAGAAGGGATCGTTGAGCCCGCTTAAATTAGCCCGTTAAAATGTACCCAGTGGCGATCGTGTTTTGACCGTACACTCTCTGGATATTCACACGCTTACACGGTTCGTGAAACTCCATAAAGGGCGATTGGTAAAGGAGATTGTGTGCTCGTAAGAGTCGCGTTTTTCAATCTTTCACGGACAAATTACTGTGTCGCTGCACCGGTTGCGAGAGAGAGAGAGAGAGAGAGATCCGCTTAATCTCTATTTGCCGTTCCCTCATTCTCAATCTCGTGAGAAAGTACGACAGGGATAGCATCGAAACCTTTTTTCGAGAAATCTTCGAAACGTCGTTAAAAAGACAGTTTGGATCGAATTTTTTCGAACAATTTGAAGAATAAAGGAAACGCATCAAGTTTCTGGAATTTTTTCTTTTTTTTCTTGCTCCAGGCTTGCTAGCAACCATCGAAATTATTCATATATATATATATATATATATATAACTCTGCAGGAAACGCAGGTTAAAAATTAGAAGATATCCTGGTCAAATATTAATCGACATCGGTGCACCGAAGCGGGCCACGTTGAATAAATAACGGCAAATGGATTTTCACGTGGTGGTAGTCGCATAAATAGCAAAGTTCGCGCGAAGAGAGTTGGTGCCAGAAACGAATTAATAGAAATAGGAGGAAAGATCGCGCGGGTCCGAGCGCTCGCCAAGTAATTAGAACGATGGGGATCGGTGATCGTCCTCCCCTCCTCCTCCCCCTCCTCCCTTTCCTCCTTTCGAATCGCTGCGAAATTTCACACCGATGGCCAAAAATGTAATTGGAATCGGCCGCTGCTGGAATTGCGGATTTTTTCGCGATAGGGGAAGATAAATCTATCCCTCTCCCTTTTACCCTTTTTTAATCCTTTTTCTGACCGAAAGTTTTACTGCCATCCTTTTTCTGACCGAAAGTTTTACTGCCATCCCGATCGTTCCCTTAATTTTTCGAGAATTATTCAAAGTTGGATGGGTTTCGTGTTATAGCGGATTTTTCATGATTCTCTGATAAAAAAAATCTCTCCCCCCGCCTCCTTTTCACACTTTCTCTATTACTTTGGCGTTCTCGGGTCAAGTTCATTATCCTCCAGGAAGAATGTTTTTTAAAGAATAATTTAAAAATAAAATGTATTTACTTTCATTTCTTCGTGGATAATCTCCAATTTTCGTCCGATTAATTTTGGAATAATTTTTCAATTTCGATCTTCTTGTTGATCTCTGTCTGAGGGGAAGAATTTTCTTACGGAATGTAGGTAGGGTGTAACGCACGTTTATTTCCCGAAATTCTCTTTTCTCGTTGAGATATATTATATTCGAACTATTTCAATCATCAGATGTTTGCATCATCTTGCGTGGGACTATCTACTTATCGATAATGAAGCATCTTTCGTGCATATCGAGCGAGTGCATCTTTTCCCTTTTCTCTTTCCAACGAATATGCATGTACGTATAATTTCATCCAAAAGTTTTCCACCCTATTGAATTAAAAAGGAAAAGATGAATACCAAGATTCCACTCGAATCCTATCTTGATTTCGACCGAATGCAATCCCGACTCAAGCTGGCCTACATCGAGCAGCGATCCTTCATACGATATTACAACATTTTAATTAATATTAAAAATAAATCGCCGTTTCGAATTTCCAGTTAAAGCACACACATGTGCACACGTATACAGAGAAATCGCGCAAACATTCAAAATTGCATAATTGGAAGTTTAATGCGTTAACAAATTGCAACGGATGCGTTTAATTGTCTCCCTCCATCATCTCTCTATCTCCATCCAGGCATTAACCTGCCTTAATCCTCTTTGAAAAATAAAATTCCACGTATAGGGATTAAAATAACTTTAAAAAAAAAAAAAAAAAAAAGTGGACATCACGTTTGTATGATTATTTTATTTCGAGGAAACCGTGTGGAAATTTTAATTTCTTTTTTCTTTCTTTTTTTTTTTTTCTTTCTCGTTCGAAAACCAAAGTGAACTTTGTCGAATAGATGCGCGAACCTATTATTATTAATGAAACGTGACGAACTCGTTTAAACGTTGTTGTAATACTTGGTGGTTAAATATTGGACATTTAAATAATACCGCGATGCGCGATATTATTTCCCTCCTCTTCTTCCTCCCCGTTCCGTTCCATTTTCCCTTTCTCTCCCGTTCTCCTTTTGTAGACTTTTTCACTCAGGCCCGTTTACAAAAGGGTTGAAAGAGCGGGCAGGCACTGCACTCCGCCGAAATGAACTGTAAATCCGCGGTCACTCGGTTGACCATTTTGTTAATGCAAAACGAATTACCGCGAATACACCGACATCCTCTAAAATAAATCGTGGCGGTCGTGAAAAAGTCGTGAAAAAAACCCTTGAAAAGGAAAAAGAAAAAGAAAAAGAACGCGTAGAGGAAATAAAAATGGACCGTAGATAGTAGACCAAGCTGTTCCCTAAAAGGATCATCAACTTGCGTAACAACTTTTATCGATCTGTAATCGTACTTACCTAACGGATACCCAATCTGCAACTCGATTTAAATAAATTAACACGATTTATTCTCTCTATCTATCATTATAATCATCTTAACTCACACACAACTCTCAATAAACTTGCAATCAAACGCATCGCCAAAAGTTTAATTTTAATCTCTTAATTTTCTCTTAGTTAATAAAATGTAACTTGAAAAAAAAAAAATTCCCCGACTCTTTCACTCCTGTGCGCTCGTGTCCACTTCCATCGATCCCATTTCCGATAAAATAGAGATAGCCGCATACTGGTCGTAACCCGAGCCATTCTTATCCAACCTATTCCACCGACAATTGTTCAAAATTTCCATTTCTCCGCATCGTGTCCGAATATATCCGTCCACTTTGCATTCGAAAATTCCCTGCCCCCCGAATGGTGGCGGAGATCGCTCCACCATTCGTTCACGGAAGAGAGAAACGGTCGCGCGCCACGCGAGTGAAGCGTGATGAGGCGGGGAGGGAGAGGAGTTGGAAAAATTCGAAACACGAAACGAAGACGCGCTCAACTTTGGCATTGGAGGAGGAGGAGAAGGGGATTAGGCGACGGATGGCTCGGTTTGAAAAATCGAGGGGGCGAGGTGGAGAGGAGGGGTGGCGCGCGTTTCCGTCGCGTGGAAACGCGGTCAACGTTCGCGCACGCATACGAATAGCGTCCAATTGCTATGGGGGGGGGGGGGATGACCGAGGGCTGCCGAGCCTCAGAACTCGAGCTCGTAAATGGAGTGGCGGCAGGTCGGGTACAGCCGGTTGCAATCCTCTCCGCTCGTGTAAGCGCGCTCGTAAGCTTGATCCTCGGATCGCTCGAAACGGCCACCGTCCCCTGGCAACCTGCAAGAAAAAGAGGGGATGGGATTTTAAGAAGGCGGTCGAATGGTGGCGACCGAGATCCGGATTCGATTTCAGATTCAGCGGATCCGATCTATCTCGTCTCTTAAGAAACCACGCGCGGGAGACGGTGAAATTAGGTGGGGAGAGAATACGTTAGGATAATCCCTTTAAAGCTATTCCGATGACTAGGCTAGGCGATTTCATTCGGAATCGTTGACGTAATTTGCGTAATTATGATTAGATAGGGGGTGGGTGGTAATTTCTTTCCTTCGCCTCGTTTTCGAATTTCGGAACGGTTTAGAGGAAGAGGAAGAAGGATACTGGAAGGATACTGGCGGTGAAAAATTATGGATAAAGCGCAACAACGTTTGATTCATTCGAAACGAATGGATCGATGGTTAACCGGTTGATCTGAATCCGGGACATTACTCCTGATTCAATCGTTTCGGTTGATTAATCCCTTTAATTGATTATACGCCGCCCTCGCCAGACGTTTTAGTTTCATAGTCGCTGGGATTGAATAACGGTTCGAATTAGCTATCCCTGCTTCGTCATTGAATACAGTTATTACGTAGAAGAGAGGATATACAGAATGCGGCCCCCCTTTTCTTTTTTCTTTTTTCTTCTTTTGTTCGGAATTCGATGGATTTTCGGTTAATATTAACGTAAATACCTCGATGAATATTAACCATTACTAATTGCTATATCGCTATCGTTGCTTCGTTTCATATTCATACGTTGCATTTGTTATTAATGTAATTATATGAATATCAATCGTAATTTCGATAGGGATCTGATCTTTTTTCACGATGGATATGCTAGATGTAAAAGGTACTATTTTTTCTCCTTTTTTTCTTAATCTACTTGGTTTTAAGAGAAGATTACCAGAGTCCATAAATAATCGAAATATCGACAAACGCGATACCCACGTGAAGATGGCGTGCAGCAACTCCTGGACCAGGCTCCCTTTTCCAACATCCTGTGGACTCCTCTGAGCAGCCTCGCAGAGGGCCTTCATCACGCAAGCTTTTCCATCCAGACCCGTGCTGAGGACAAATCTTCGTTTAAAACACTTGCTCTTTCGCAAGTGTATCAAAGAGTATCTACAAGGGTTATCGTATAAAAGTGATCGATAAAAGTGATCGATGATAGAACTTTCACGAGCAAAACTCACGAGGAATGTTAATCGACTCGTATTAATTAAATTCCTGCGAAAGGAATATAAGATATTCGCGAGATATTGATATCATCCTTCGGAGTCTTGTTAAACGTTCGTTTGTTGGTGAAAGAAAAAAAAGAAAGAAGAAAGAAAAAAATGCGTTAAAAGAAAAAATTTATCGTATATAAATTTAAAAACGATGTATCCTTTTTTTCTTTGTCTTTTTCTTTTTCTTTTTTTTTTTTTTTCAAAACCTATTTATCTAATGGAAGATATTAAACGACGTTTAAACGACACCTTTAGAACCCTTTGAATAATTCACTTTATTACTTGTGCCTCTTATTTAATATTCGAGGGGTCCGATGTGTCGACAGCGTCGCGATTTAAATACGAATCACGAAAATAAAGGGAATGCGTTACATAGCCGGAATCAAACAAGCGACGTCCTCTTTCTGTTTCGTTATTCTCGCACGTTCCGCATGAAAATTTCTGCGCGCATTTGCATGTGGCTGGCCGGGGGAAAAAAGGGTTCCATTTGCATGTTACGTCACGCTTCGAGAACGAATGGGAAACGAGCTTTCGCTTTGGATCGAGACAAAAAAAAAAAGAAAAAGAGCAGAAAAGGGAAATAAGAATGAAAGTGTACACAACACCTTCCCCATTTCCTCTATTTCTTTCGGCCAATCTCGAAGAATTCGAGACGATCAAGAGATTAATAAACCCATCGATGATAATTCTTGATGAAGAAAAGGATGAAAATTGTAGAACGAAGAATGTAGAACGAAGAAGGAAATCGTTAAAGATGGAAGAGATTTGCGAGGAATTTACTCACGATTCCAGCAGAGCCTCTATTTTCGGGTACATGACGCTTCTGCTCTTTCGATCGAGCAACTTCGATATCTTCGAGTCGACTTTGCTCGGCAACTCCCAGGCCAGGGCTGCCGTTATCCCCATTATTACATCGTTCTCCTTCGCGTAGGTTCCCACCGTCAGGCAATACACTAACTGGAAAAGAACACGAATTTGTGAGAAAAAAAAAAAAATCTTCGAGATTAAACCAAATTATGAAAAATTCGAAGGTAATAATAACGAAGCATTGTATTACTTATTATACAAAACTATACGTATTTTTTCTCTCTCTCTAACAAAAAGCGAAACACGAAATATAAAATTCTATCATACCTGCACGTTACTCCCTTCCGGAAAAATCAAGTACCTCTTGCGCCTGGACAGCGTGGTTGGAGCGTCGATCGCGTTTTCAGATACGCAGATGGCGAGGAAGTGGAGGCACGCAAAGACGAGGAAGAGATCTCGGATGCCTTGCATCCCTCGAGCGCCGCCGCGATGCGACTCTCATGCGTTCCGTTGCACGATGGGCCGCCCGTCCAAAGGAGAAAAAAAAAAAAAAGAAAAAAAGAACGCTCCAACTCCTCCTCCCCCTAGCAGAACGAGACGAAGAATCGTGTCCGCGAATTGGACAACGCGATTCGGTTGGAACGCTGTCCCCGCACTGACCGTCCTCGTTCCACGGCCAATACGTTCCCAGAGTATCGTGTAACGGGAACGTGAGACGGGCACCGGTCTAATGAACAGACTTTGGCCACTCGTTCGAGAATAAGTTCGGCAAATAATATATATATATATGTGTGTGATATTATATACCGTGTGGGGGCGGTTACCTCTTCGGATAAAATTTCGGCTATCGATCTAACAATCGATCGTTTGTAATCATTTCTACCATTTTTTTTAACAATTATTTTAGCAACCAAAAATTTACTCTCCTCGTTTATCGATACGTAAAATACTAAAGTTTAAATATTATTCATCCATCGTACTAAACCAGGCGAACGTCCACGTATTTCGTTCGAGATGGCGAGGACGATCGGAACCAAGACAGGCGAGGATTGCTTGAAATATGATGTGTAAGAGAAGAGAGAGAGAGAGAGAGATAGAGAGGAAAGAGAGAGACACGAAAGGTGGCTCATTGTACTTTTAAATGCGCGTTTATATTAATTCACACTGTCTTCCAGAATGCTTGCTCTCTCTCTCTCTCTCTTTCTCTCTCTCGAAAAACTGGACGACGTGGAGGAGAGGGAGGAGAAGTGCCCTTTTTCACCGGGGCGACACTTATTTCCTCATTTCGCGGGTCATAGCGGCGGAACGAGCTGCTGTTAATTGCATATGGGAGTTGCGCCCACGCACACCTTCTCCTCCGCCTCCTTCCCCTCCCCACGGAAGGGGGAAGAAAACCGCAGGACAGTTCTAAATTAATGCTTTTCGTTAACGCGTCGCTGCCGCTCCCCACCCTCGACACGGATGCAATTATACGACCGTTCTTGTCCACGGAGGAATGTGGACACCACCCTTTTCGCCCTCCCCTCAGACGGTATCCAGAGAAATAAGAAAATTTCACGGTTCGGTTGTACTTTTACTTTTACTCTCTCCGTTCGGACGGGGATAGGTTTGCCATGGAACCATCCCATCCAGGATCGCCTGATTAACAGGAAGAGGTGTTATATATATATATTTGGATAAATGTCAATTAATCGATTGATTCCTGTCAAATCTCTGTACCGAGAATGAAATTTTATTAATTTAATCGAAGTTAATAATTTCGTGGATGAAAAATATCCGGAATATCGGATATTTGTCAACCAGCGTTCAGACAGCGTTTCGCCGATTCATCGGCCCGTGAAATAGTCGACGCCGATCAAGTCGAGGAGGCAACGTCTGACGTGGACGTCGCAGTAAACAGGATTATCCGCGGTACCGTTGTACGATCTGAAAATTTATTACGATCATTAATAAACCCCTAACAATAAATGGTCGTATCTCGTCGTATCAATATCTCTCACCCGGCCAACAATTTCAATATCTTCGCGATCACTCCGTCCCTCCGGCTCACGTACTCCATCGCTTGACAGATGTTCTTCAACAGGCACGATCTCCCGTCGAATCCGTGGCTGCAACCGCATTTAACATTTTACCCTCCCCTATTTTATCCGTACGTATAACCGGAGAGGAAAGTGTTGGAATCGAGGCGAGCGCTCGAATTTTTCGATTCGAATCGGGAGGAGCGAAGCGGAGGGATGAGAGGGGGAAGGAAACGAGAGGAGGGGGGAGGAGAGGGAGGGCAGGGCGAAAGAAACCGAGCGAGTGATGCGGCATTGGTTGATCCTGCGGAAACCTTTGGCCAGAAATCCACCCCTTCTCGATATTCCAGGGCAGGGGCAATTTGCTAGGCTGTACGAGTACCATACACCGGGACGGTCAAGGATCCATTATTCACGGTCTGTTAAACTATTTATTACCTCTCGTATACGATCTCGGCGGCCTGGTGAACGTCGTCGACGGACCTGACGAGCCTGGTAATCTCGGACCCGCTTGGAAGTAGCCACACCAGCTTGAAACCAGCCGCGTGCGAGAAGATGGTCGTGTAAGGGAACATCGTGATCTTGAAGTTCACCCTGTACTGTAGGAGTAGAAAGGAGTGTCAACTTGGCGTCAGAGGGATTTCACGAATCGATCACGACTCGATTGTACGTTTCCTCGTCCTCGCTTTATCGATATCGGTTTAAAATTGCTCTGTTTATCCAGGGTGGAGAGGTAATAGCGGCCGGAAGTAAGGAGGGACGATCACGAGGGAACGGTCACGGTCACGTGATCGAAGCCCGATTGTTCGACCCTGATTGCACAGCCGATGATACGTGATGGGAATCGAGCGGTCTCGTCATCGATTCGGGAGTTTTCATTGCGGTTTAGGTCAGCCTAGGCTGGCCAGCCTAGGTTGTTGGCGAGTTACTGGTGGGTATGATCGAAAACGCGCACTCTCGGGGTTAAAAATTTCATATTGGAAAGAATACCGGTGTGGGGAGAGAGAGGAGGGGACGACTTTGAGAATAATCCAATATCACGGCAAGGAGGAACCCGCATACCCCCCCTCCTCTCAGTATCCAGTATCCAATATCGAGTGGACAAAGTTAAAAAAAAAAGAAAAGAGGAAAGAAAGGGGAGAAAAAAGAGAGAGAGAGAGAGAGAGGGAGAGACTAAAAAGCAAAAGGGACACGTGTGGGTGTCCAGGATCCAGCGTGAGGGTGAAATTTCAATTTCGAATCGACAACAGTATGCAGAGGGTAAACTCGATCTACGCCCGGTTACGGTGTGCCGCGTTTGAAGCAAGGCAAGGAACAGGCTGGGGCAAAGTGACGGAGGCAGGTGTTGCTGGCCTCGCTGTTTCTCCCGACGTATATCTCGTCCAGGTGGTCGACGAAACCAGGCGGTGCAAGGTGTCTGAATCTGGCGAGTCATTTATCAAAGATCCTTCGACTCTTCGACTTTCTCGGATATTAGAAACGAAAAGAACGAGAGTTTCACTTTCCTCTCCCTTTCTCTTTCTCTTTTCGAAAAAGATCTCATCCGTATAACATCCAAGATTTGTAAGGCAAGAGAGAAATAATAAGAATAGAAGAGGATTTACGACTTCCACGATCCACGAATGTACGATTGTATTCGAGATTGTCGAAAAAGGGAATGAATAAATTGGTGCGTTCCCTGTGACGTAGTCGTATTCTCCTCGTATTGCTTTCTTCTCGCGTATCTTTTTCCCCATTTGCACGGAATATGCGCGAATATTCGTGAAATTCTTCCAATGCGATTAAATGCTTCAAAAATACGTAGATCAAAATGATATCGCAAGAAAAAAGTAATTTGAAAATTTAACGATAATTCCATCGAAGAAGAATAAATATGAACCGATATACCCTTATCCAACCAAACCCCCCGTTTCCTTCGTCGAGTCGATTCCTCCGACTCGAGGGAATAATTTAATTCAAAAAATAATCAATTCCCCGATAAATCAAGCATCAAGCACGAATATCGAAGCTGGATCCATGGTATCCGATAAAGCGCAACGTGATACCGCATTTTTGCACTTTATTATTGAACACAGCGAGGAACACTGTGGAAGAGGAGTGGTGTATCGATTTATGGACGATGATCTGGAATTCAACGGCTGTCTCGTATGTTACATACGAAGGGGGGAGGTGTATAGTGCACGTGCAGCATCGTCGATACCACGGCACTCGAGGTATCGTAAGTACACTGGATCATCACCGGTTGCATAATTCTTCCAAGCACGAAATGCAATCTAACGGCTGCTGCACCTGGTGCATTCTTCCTCCGAAAATCGTAAACAATTACCGCGAATAATCCACCTAGTGGAGGAAATTTACTCGTCCGATCCCGCTGCGGAAAAATTATTGACAATTCAACCCCCTTTCTTCTTCTTCTTTTTCTTCTTCTTCTTTAATCCCATCGCTGTAAATAAACACGGTAACGGAAGAGAAGATAGAAGAATTTATCTCTCGAGTTATTATATTCGTGGGGAGGAACGGAGGAGGTATTTATATCGGTGAAAATTGGACATCGACAATTGGAAACAATCGCGTTTCGAGATTCTCTCTCGCGGTGATCGAAAGTGGTGCGACAAAATTACGAATATTCGATACGTTGGATGTTCGTCTCGGCCACGTGATCTCGAGAGGTCACACGTTCACGAGTAAATATTCGAAGGAAGCGACAAGGATAATGGATTCGACTTCGGAGGCGGGTATACTCGCGCGATACTCGTTTCAGCCCGATCCACGAATTACGTTGAGGGGCAACTTCATCGTGCATTAATGCGGTCCATTACAGAGTTACTCGGGCGTCGTCGTCTAGGCGGCGAGGGGCGGCCTTTTAAGGCGAAAATACGGCGCAACGATCGACTTACATTAGTCGTGGTCCTCTATCCACCGGCACATATGGCGCATAAATTTTGCCCCACAACCGCAAACTGGATCACGTCGCACGGATGGAAACACGGTGTAACAGATTATGCTTCCAACGTTACGGACGAATTCGAGTCGATTCGCGTCTATTAAAGGACGAGAGTTGAGATAATACGAGGGAAAAAGAAAAAAAGGTGAAACGTGAGGTGCGTTTCGAAGAACGATCCAAGGATTGATAAACGGAAATTAAATTCACGTTACGTTTTATGCAAACGAAATGATTTCGTAATTCGTTAAACTCGAAAAAAAAAAGAAAAAAGAGTTAAGATATATATATATATATATTTCGACAAAGGATTAATAAAGGATTAATAAAATTTTCCTTCGTATTTAAAACAATCGAAGAGAGAATCTGCGTTAAAGTTACTTGATCGAAGGACAGAGAAAAAAGAAAAAAGAAAAAAAAATCCAATCGCAGAAAAAGAAGAATGGAACAATTTCTTCTATTTACATAAACAAGCTATTATAAACTACATATATATATATATACATATAGTTTACAATCCATCCATTAATCTTCATTGATCGCTCGATTAAAGAGAGAAAAAGAGAGAGAGAGAGAGAGAGAGAGAGAGAGAGATGACTTTACTCACAAAAAAGGAGCTGCCCTTCCGAAACGACAAAGATCTGGCGGGTCTGGTCACAAGTTGGGCCGCGGTAATGAGGGTGAGACAGAGGATGGCCCGGAACAACAATCGCATAATCAATGGATGGCGGGCACTCGGCCAAAAATCTCCAACTTGCGGCTTGCACCGAATATCCTTCGCCTCGTCTTGCACGAATCTTCGCCCGACGGGATTGAGACGTTGGGCGGAACCAGAGTTCCTCTTGGTTATTGATAACGGTGCTTTGCCCCCTCCCCCTCACCCCACCGACCGGCCACTAACGACTTTTTCCCCCCTATTCGTCGAGAGAGAGAGAGAGAGATCGCCTTGGCTCTTGGTCTTTCCCTTTCCCTTCGAACTTTATCAAATTGTTCTCCGCCGTTTTTTCGATATTCGATATTCGAGAAATATATGGTTATATTCGAACGATCAAAACACGAATCGAACGAATGTAATTGCGAAGAGAAATTATTTTTATTTGATATTTTTTTTTTTTCTTTTTTTTACAAATTCAATCAAACGAATCGAGGAATATCGTAGAATGGAAGAGGGAGAAGCAAGAAGAATTCGTTTCGTTTCGTGTCTTTTTGAAAATCCGTATTTTCTCTGTACATATACGAACGCTTATTCGAACGGTTCATTAAACCTGGCGCGAGTGAAAATGCAGTCAACTACACACGATTTGGAGAGAGAGAAAGAGAGAAAGAGAGAGAGAGAGAGAAAATGGAAGAAATACGAGGGAAGTACGAGGATTTTCAAAGACGAAAAAAAGTTAGTAGGATGTTGATGTTGAGATAAGAAAATTCGCGTGTTTTAGTTTCCGCATAACATCGCCCTGGTTAAATCAACTTTGTTTAAACCGACCTACCTTGGGTTTAACTTCCGGTTGAAATAATTCCATTGCGCGCATCCAAAATACCCGTAAAACTCGGAATTTAATAACAAATTATCCCGCGTACTGTTACGCTCACCTATCTTCTCTCCCCAACATATTTATGAATCTGATCTCGAAGCTGTAGCCAAAGTATAAAGTTTCCTTCTCTCCTTTTCTCCTTCTCTCTCTTTCTATATATATAAATATATTTTTTTCTTTTCCCCCATCTCTCGTCGATTAATCTCTTCTTCAACACGATGCGAGGCCAAGAAACGATTAAACGAACTCGATAGAGAAGCGGTGGTATGGATCCATCAAAGAGTGTCGTATTTAATAAACGGATGCTTCGAGAAATGAGATTATTTTCACTGGCACTCTTAATCAACAGGAAAATTCTCGATAAAAAGTCGAACGTGCCAACTCGTTTATTGCATAGCAACGATGCTATGTAACGACGAGAACAGCAAGGTTTGGTTGATAAAAAAGTAGAGAGAGAGAGACAGAGAGAGAGAGAGAGAGGAGAGAGAAGCATAGCCCGGGCGCGAGGCCGGATGTAACTAGGTCGAGGAAGAAAATGGAGGCGTTGANAGAGAGAGAGAGAGAGAGAGAGAGAGAGAGAGAGAGAGAGAGAGAGAGAGAGAGAGAGGAGAGAGAAGCGTAGCGCCGTAACCCGGGCGCGAGGCCGGATGTAACTAGGTCGAGGAAGAAAATGGAGGCGTTGAGGAGAGTGCGCTCGAACGAATAATGATGGATATTGTGTGTATAATGTACAACGGTAACATCTTATTGTCACGATACTCAATAAATCGTGGATATTCGGTCTAGAATTCCTTGGCCAGGAGGACACGTGGAATAAATCATCGAGCAATTATTTCCCCTTCTTCCGAACGTGGCCGCTTCTATATATTCGTAGTCCATCGTGAAAGCGTCTCCCTCGTCCGGTCTGAAACGAAAATACCATTTCCATGAATCCATGAATTTCATTTCGACGCGCGATAGAAAGTGGAAAGACACCCCGTCCCCGAAAATTCTTATTCGTTTAATTATTACATTTATTTATTTTTATCTTTTAGCTAGGGATAGAAGAATTTTTGGGGCCAAGTTTCAATCCATTCTTTTAATAAAAAAAAATTCTATCGATCCGTGTTTTACGTTAACAACAAGTGCAACAATTCGCCGACCAATCCCTCGTCCTTCAACGATGTCGATGCCGCTTCGCAGATATTTTTCTTCAAGCAAGCTTTTCCATCCACGTTACGCCTGGAAACGATCGTTAATAATTAATAATCCGGCATAAAATCGGCACGATATACATTAGACAACAATCTAATCGAAACGTTTATTATATCGTCAACGATTAAATGCATTATTATCTCGTTGGTATATGATTAAATTTAAGCATTACAAGCTAATAGAATTTATATATCTGAATTCGTTCGTGCGCGCTCTGTTAATTATTTATCAAACCTACACGGAACGATAACACGCGTTGTACATTCATTTCGGGCCGGCTAAAATATTTTCAATCGTAAAAGAGTCGTCGTTGAATTAATTATTAATTATGAATAAGCGATAAAAAATGACAAAGGCGACGAAACGATAATTGTAAATTCGCGTCGTCCATTATTAACTCGAATTTTAAACGTTTCGAATTATTAATACCCCTCCCCTCGGTTATCGAATCTTTTGTCGTTATACAAATCCAAGATATCGAAGATGTTGATTAATCGAGGAACGAATTATTTTTTATTTATTCGGTGGAAAAAATTTTTTCCTCATATTCTTATTATTATTATTATTATTATTATTATTATTACTTCTCATTTTCGATCCATCATTCGACAAGCGAGATTCGTGCAAGATTCGAAGAGATTCTAGGTTAGAGGCACTTACATGTCAAGTTCACGTTGAAGAATGTCGTATACAGGGACCCTCTCGCTCCAACTCGCTCTACGCCGTCTTCGTGACGCGTCTTGGAAGTAGTTGGTGAAGAAGGTGGCGTTGTTTGGCAACATGTATTGAAACTGAATGTTTTGGCCGTATGACAAAATCTGGCCCGAGACCTGCACCGGCATCGCGAACCCTACAACGAGCTTAACGAGAAATAATCGCGAATAAATAATCGCGAGTTTCAATCGTTAGAGGGCACGATGAATTTGATTCCTTTTGTGCTTCTTGGAAACAAATTTTAACCCGACAATCTATCATATTCCCTTATTATTATTATTATTATTTCCCTTAGCGAAAGGGTACGTAGAATCCTCAAGCGAACGTAATCCAATTTTACGATAAAAATGTTTCGAATAATTACGTAATGGAAAAGAATCGGGAAGAGAGAACGAATTGTTTCAGAAATAAATAAAAGGGAAAGGGGATCCGTCGAAATTATATCAATTTTTTCAAAATTACATCAATTAAAAGAGATTTGCTTCGATCCTCGAAAGTATGAAAATATTATATAAGGAAATAATCGAGTTACAATTACGTTAAGCACTCGGAACTTGGAGAATGGTTTATAAATTATTCGCGGCGGCGATTATCGGAAGGAATTATCAAACGAGAAAGAAGTTCCACTTCGCGAATCGCGAGAAATGAAACTTTTGCAAGTGTAAAGAATTTACACGGCCGAGAAATAAAGGGGAGGAGGAGGAGGAGGAGGAGAAGGAGGAGGAGGAAGAAGAAACCGGATAGTTTTCCTTTCTTTTTTCTCTTTTTTTCTTCTTCCCTTTCAAGTGGTTCCCGAACAGAGATAAATCTGGCGCGCGTGAATGAAATGAAAAAACTAGCGGAAACGGAATCAAACGTGCAACAAAAATGACTTCCCCTACCGCTGTGTTTCCCATGATCATTTTTACATTATACCTTCCATGAAGATGGGAATACAATCTATGTTAAAGTCCAACAAAAGAAAGGAAGAAAGAAAGAAAGAAAGAAAGAAGTACTGGTGGAAGGAAAATTTGAAGCTCACCTTGGCGAGGCTAGATCTCAACTTTTCGAATACTGCTTAACCCTCATTCGTTTCCAAGAAAAGATATTACGGCGTCGCTGAATTACCTTTCTTCCTCCCACCTTTTCTAGTTTCCATATCTCTCTCTCTCTCTCTCTCTCTCTCTCTTTTCTCCACTATCACTTTGCGTATACGTACTCGAGCATTATCTCTAGCGTAACGTAAATGTTTTATTTTTCTTTCTTTCACGATAAGAAAAAGAAAGTCCTTTTCTCTCTTAAAAGCAAGCGAGAGATATTCAGGCGAGAAGTTGATGATATCCCTCCCTGAAGTTCTCACTTCGCGTTCATCGTGAGCATCGTTCGTTCGAGATCATCGTGCAGTTTTGTGCACGTAAATATCGTCTTTCCAACTTTTCCCCCCCGTCTCTCCCATTGAGCTCCACGTCCCCATTGAAAGATTGCGTGACACGCGAGATCCAAAAGAGGAGTTTTCGCGGAGAACGGATGGTTAAATAAATTCAACTCGGTGTTTTCGAGGCCCGTTTTCGTCCGGCACAAAAGTGAAACGACGCGTGCTACAACTTCGTAATTGTCCTGGTGATAAGGTAGAAGGAAGGCTTCAAGGCCCTCCCCTTCCAAGCGAAGAGACATGGAAGTAATTCAACGTCGCCCAAACTCTCTTCTTTCCACCACTTTTCTCCTTTTTCTTTCTCACTTTGAAGCTGCGCTTTTGACGCAGTGCAGCTCCGCCTGTTTAGATACATACTGACCCAGAAACCGGGCTGAATTTTATTTCACGCCAGTTTCCCGCCTCTCCCCAAGGCGAACGTCCAAATATTTGCCTTATAGTCGTTCCTGTTGCTTGGAAATTTGCTAATCAAACACTTTTACACCGTGGAAACCGTGGTGACGTCGAAATCCACAAGGAGAGCCATCCGCGCTCGGTCACCCTCGGACCTCGTCGTTTCCAATTTCTTTTACTTTTTATTTGGAATACCGAATCGTAAAAGGGGATGATCCTTCCGATTTCGAAGCATCGATCGCGCATTCGACGAGAAATCGGAGAGGAAGGGGGAAAGGTACAAATAAATAAAAGGATAAGTTAATTATCAGCGCCTTCCCGTTTCTCCCTTTTTTAACCCTTTTTCCAACCTTACTTCCAAGCATGCAAGCGAACACATCCATAAATCCTTGACTCGTAACTAAGACACTGGCGTTAAACTCCCTCAAACAAATTCTCTGTTTAGCTCGTATTCCGTTTCCTTGTCCTTGTCCTCGAGGAGGGATCCGACCGGCCAACTGCTAATTAATTCCGTACCGTGACGGAGACGACATCCGAGACGTTAATTGGCGAGAGGAGGGAAATCTCTTTCGCGTTTTTTCTCTCCACCGCCAATTTTTTATTTTCGAACAAGGAATTTCGACCAGAAAAATGTTATTATATTTTTAGAGACAAAATTACTTTCTTCTTTTCCTCGATCATTCCAAGATATCCCTTTCCGTCATCTTAAACGAAAATTAATCTTCCTCTCATTTCTAATTAACTTTCCCCCCAAAAAAAATCTTTCTTCTTCTCATAACCTCTCATAATAAATCAAAGACGGACAACGAAAAACAGACCCTCCCCCTCTCCACATAATCAAAGGAACAACAAAATTTGAAGCAAGTTACAAGCGACATTTATGCGCTTGTTTGTGAATACGAGGAGAGACGCGAAACGAAACGCGTTTTTCGTTTTATTTATCTTTTGGATACTAATCTGAATCATCGCTCGATACCGCTCTACGACTAACTTTCGATAATTCGAAAAGTTGATCATCAGACGCTTAGCTGATTAATTATTTCAACGAAGGATTCGCGCCCCGTCCAATCCAATGAAGAGGGCGCGCCAACGATGCTGTTATTCAAATTAGCGCGCGAGTTAAATCCTCGTGGAACGAGGAGAGGCGTGTTCGCGCCGGTAATCCCATCAGCCTCGAAGAGGGCGAAGAGATTATTATTAAGTTTTATCTGCTGCCTACGTCCAAGCACGGATAAATACCTTCAAAACACCACCGAGAGGATAAACGAGGGGCGGTGGATACAAGGCCTGCCTCTTCCCTCGAACTTCCCCCTTCTCGCTCGCCTGGATCCGTCCCACTGTCGCGAGGAACAGCAACGACAATCTCCAGTCCACCCTCGTCCGAATAAACATCGTCTCCCCTTATTTCCTCCTTCGATCGCCTGGAAATGGAGAAGATCGATCGACAATTTGATCGAGAATCTCGCTACACTTCCTCTTTCTTGCTGATAATTCTTCCATTATTTCGTGGAAGAGGAAAAATGAGATTGAAGAACTTTTAACCCTTTGCACTCCAGGCCTTGTTTCGCTCGGTCGAACCAGCAACTCCAGACTCAGACCCACGCGTTTAATGCGTTCGATGGCCTCATAAGATTACCATAAGATAAGATTACACCTCAGATTATAATATATATAAGATTATACGNGCTCGGTCGAACCAGCAACTCCAGACTCAGACCCACGCGTTTGATGCGTTCGATGGCCTCATAAGATTACCATAAGATAAGATTACACCTCATAAGATTATACGTAAAGAGGAATCTATTTATGAAGCGACATTTTTAAAAAAATCAAACATAAATAAATATTGTACAATCCCAGTGGTGACCGAGAGTCAGTTGGAGAGCAAAGGGTTAATAAAAAGAAAAAGGAAAAAAACTAGACTATATACTATTGCACGAAAATTAACGGATCAACTCACCCTATCCGAATCTCGAACGTAATTTCTTCCCCTTCCCCTGGGCGAGGCACAAATGCACGCTGCAACTCGAAACTCGTAGGCCACAAGTCTGGTCGGGGCTTCTCGAACTTGCCCACCCACTCCGGCGAAATTAACGTATCATCTGTCAACTCATAGGAGCATAGTTGCGCTCCAAGAAGGTTCGTACGACCGACTGTAGTTCGGTCGGACGAGCTAATTTTCCGTCCTTGCTAGACAACCGGCCCGTCCATCCCTTTTCCTCTTTTTCCTCTCTCTCTCTCTCTCTCCTCGTCGACGACCGGTTTCAATCGTCACTTCTCCGTCTCTCTCTCTCTCTCTCCTCGTCGACGACCGGTTTCAATCGTCACTTCTCCGTTTCGTTAACGAGACAAGAAAACAAACCGACCATTCCTTCAAACCGATCTTTAAGGTCGTTGACGTTTTACTTTACTGCTTCTCCTCGTCGCGTCCATTTTTCCCGACGCCAATAAAAACATCGTTTTTCAAAAAGAACGAATCGAACGGAATGAGCGAATCATCGACGAGACTCTTCTCTCTCCATCGTCCAATGCATCTCGAAGAGGAGAGAGAAGAGCACGTCTTGTCTTTCTCGCGTATAATCGCGGTCAAAAGAGAAAGAGAGAGAGAGAGAGAGAGAAGGATTGCTTAAACTTGGAACAACTCGCGAAATAAGTTTCGGCAAGGATAAGATCCCAAACTTCCGCTTCCGGCGTGACAAAAGGGAACTGAAATATATAAACAAAAGGAGGGAAGAGTAGTCTTTCCAACAGAGCGAACAAAGTTGCCAGGTGAAATTCCCAGCTTCTCTTCCCAGATCGTAAGAAGTATTCTCTCTTACGAGGCAGAGAGAGAGAAAGTGATGAAAATCACGTTGATGTTTCCTTGTTACAATATCCCTCGATCCGTCGTGGTCGATAACGAGTCGATGCAAGAAAATTTTCTCGATAGTGGATTCTTCGAGAATACGAGATACGAAATGTATCTTACTCGAGGAGGATCTCGAGGATTTTTCAAAGATACACGGACGGGCTCGAGGCTGTGAAACGTTATCGAATACGTAGTCGAAAGACAAACGCGAAATCGTTGTTGGAATAAAATAGAAAATGGCGACGAACAACGATATCGAAAGAAATAGGGGTGGTGGACGCGTTAGGGATGTTTCTATTTTAGGAAATTTACTTAAGACTTTCGCTCCGTTCCTTCCGTCGAGCATCTTTCCATCGTTTTCATCGCAAGCTGAAAAGTCTGACCTGCTCGCGAATATTATATCGAAGTCGTACAAATGTCCGATCGAATCGTTCACGTTCGTCTAATAAGTTCTTGAAAAAAAAGAAGAGAAAAAAAAAAAAAAAGGATTATACAAAATAACTCTTCAAGGATCCGAATTCTTGTTCCCCTCGTTGACAACAGGTCGATTGCTTGTCCTGGAAAGGAAACAAGTGATAATATCTCGAGATCAAGCGAGATTAAGTGAATCGGAGAACCAAGTATCTGGTGTATAATTATAAAAAGCTCTTTTATTGCGAATTATATCATAGGAAGGAAGTGGGATGGTTGAAACTTGGTAGAGCTTTCCAGGGCAGCTCTCGCTTACAACGAAATTTACTTAGCACTGTGTTCTCGCCACCATCCCCTACTCCCCTCGTCCAAACCCCTCCGTAATAAATTCTTTTACGATAAAGTCACTCTCCCATACGCTCTCCTCCGAGACGTGTTGTATCCGAAAGGTATACAGAAACGTAGAGAACGATCGATTCGTCTCACGCTGTCAATAACATAACGCCGTATTTTTGTGAAAAAAATGTTTTCAAACGGATCATCGACAAATGTTGTCCACAGTTGGAATCGATCGATCGATCGCTCCAACGAGAGGGAGGGAGGGGAGGGGCTCCAAAGTTCGGCGAAATCAATGTCGTCGAAATGTCGCGTTCCCCCATTCCCCCTAGGGGGACGCGATCTCCGTGAACGTTTCGAGGGGTGACTCGGTGCAATCGGGATAGGCGAGGATGCAGTCGCCTCCGGATCTTCCCAATAGTTCCGCATCTCGGTACGAGTGGTCGACGATCCGGCGAGTGGAGTTAACCGAATCTGGCAAGTCCTCGCTCGGCCTAATTGAGAAATTTCAACGCGGTTCTCACCTGTGGCACGCGACAAATGTGCGATCTCTTTCGAATCACAGGATGCTTCGCTCATAAAGGATGACGAACTTTTTCGAAACGCGTAGTGTGAAAATATACGAAAGCAAAGTTAAAGCAAAGTTTCGATCTCGAAGCATCCTGTGATAGATAAGGATATGGATAATGGTATTCCAACGAAAAATTCCAACTTTTGAAACATTTGCAAACTTTGAAGAAAGGAGAAATTGTTTGGCGATAAAAAAGGGGGGAAGAGGGAGAGGGAATCGATCGAAGGAAAGCGCAATTGTGCCAGTGTGGTAGTAAACCGAAGCGATGTTATTGATATTCGACGCGCATTACCCGCCAATTGTTTCGAGGGATGTTGCGGATTACGTCGATAGAAATTTCCAGCCAACGAGCCGTGTGTGTACAAAGGGAAAACCTACGGGAAACATTTTCCATTAGAAGCTTAATGCACGCGCCTAACTTGGTCGCAATTAAAGTAGCCGCTCACTGGCTCGGTTGCAATTTCCTTCGAGTACGCGGCCGAAATGGCGAATTCCTGCCCGGTTTCCGATCGCTCGGCCAATCATTCCTTCCATCATCGATCAACCATTAACTCGATTCCACCCTTGCATTACCACCGCCCTTTAACCCTTCCAATTTCCCTCCCCCGATCGCTAAATTAATAACGATATCGCTCGCCCAATCTTTAATTTTCGTGTAAAAATTTCCAACCTTGCTCTCCTCCTTTTCCGATTATATTTCGAAAAGCTATTGAAAACTTTCGATGGATTTTTTTTTCGATGAAACGTAATCGTAATCAAACGTAAAAATTTTGCGTAAGAAAATGATGCTGATAAAAGTCCGGAATAATTCGTCGATCGAACGAGTCGGTCGTTGCTGTACTCTCAATATAACAAAAAAAAAAAAAAAAAAAAAAAAAAAAGAAAAGAAAAGAAAAGAAGCGAATGGAAAAATCGTAGAACAAAATCGTTAAACGTTGCCACGCCCGGTTGGAACATGGATTTTACTGCATTATCTCGGTGTATTCGGTGCTTCGTTACGCGAGGCACCGTCGTCTTACTTCGTCGTAAGCGGGCAGGACAGCCATTAGAGACTTCCAACGGAATTCATTAACCGGAAGCTCCTCGAGAAATGAACTTCGTTTCGGAAAGTACACGAGTCAAAGCGCGATTCGTCGGAACCAACTTACGTTAAAATTAAGTGGATCACCTCCTCGAGGACGTCACGACGCGTCCTTGCAAACGGTGTCTCCGCGAGTTCGCAGATGGTCTTCAGAAGGCATTCTCTCCCGTCCTCCCAACCGTGCCTGAACAACAAAACAAAACGCTCCGATTTTAATCGATATCTCCTCTCTCTCTCTCTCTCTCTCTCTCTCTCCCTCTCTCTCATTTCATTTCCCCTTCTTTTTTCCTTTATTTCGTAATTTTATTTAGGAAATCGATGGAAATCGAGCCCTTCGGCGAACCGTGCGCCACGATATCGGTTTTATAAAATGGCGAAAGGGAATTTCTTAAGCGTACTTCGTTCCCATCCGAGAAATTCATTATCCTGGACGGCTTGCCTCGAATAAAATTATGTCAGCGAAGGGGATATATGCAAATTTCGAATTTCGGATTTTGCCGCCGCATTTAAACGTTCTTCGAATATTTTCGAATTAAAGATACGTGATAAAAAGGAAGAAAAAAGAGGGGGAATGAAAATCCGAGAAATTCATTATCTTGGATGGTTTGCCTCGAATAAAATTATGTCACCGAGGGGGATGGATGCAAATTTCGAATTTCGGTTTTTGCCGCCGCATTTAAACGTTCTTCGAATATTTTCGAATTAAAGATACGTGATAAAAAGGAAGAAAAAAGAGGGGGAATGAAAATCCGAGAAATTCATTATCTTGGATGGTTTGTCTCGAATAAAATTATGTCATCGATGGAAGAATGAATGCAAATTTCGAATTTCGATTTTTGCCGCCGCATTTAAACGTTCTTCGAATACTTTCGAATTAAAAATACGTGATAAAAAGGAAGAAAAAAGAGGGGGAATGAAAATCCGAGAAATTCATTATCTTGGATGGTTTGCCTCGAATAAAATTATGTCACCGAGGGGGATGGATGCAAATTTCGAATTTCGGTTTTTGCCACCGCATTTAAACATTTTTCGATTATTTTCGAATTAAAGATATATGTAAAAAAAATAAAGGGGGAGTGAAAATTAGTAAATGTCGCCTGGTCTCCATTTCTAATTTTTCCAAACAATGAACACTTGTCTCACTGATAGGGGGAATGACCAGGGAATTCTCGACGAATCTCATCTCTCTTGTAAAACTCGTGATGAGAAATTCGCCCTATTCAGCCGGCTAACGATCCATTTCACGCGACATCTAGCCCTCCTCCTTGTCAACCCTTCGTATCGGCCAACTCTCTTTCTTAACTTTCGCTCCAAAGCTAAATTATTCGTTTGTTATTCGCTCCCCCTCCCGACCCCCCTCTATCCCCTCCAAAACGGAGCAATTACCCTACGCCCCAATTAGGTTACGCTTCGAGCTCTCTCTCCGCGTCTTTGCACCACGCTTTGACGCTGCAACATCAGCCACGCCCTCACCTTTCGCGATCGTTTGCCGCATCTTGGCAATCACTCGTTTATCAATCCGTCGCAACCTTTTCCTTGCGCCCCGTTAAAAATTTCGTACTAATCGAAATTGCGAATCTTCTTCTCGACGATTCATAAGAAACCAGGCAAATCCAAGAACCAGGTATCAGGTCTCCTCCCCCTCCTCCTCCTCCTCCTCTTTTTAATATTTTTGCGCGACCCACCTCCTATTCTCCTCATCGAACCATCCAGACGATCCATCGAATTATTACAACGAAATGAAACGAAATAAAATTCGTTTCAAGCTCAAAAGGAAAGGAGAGGGGAGGAGGGGAAATATAACGGGGTCGAAACTGGGTTCGCCAAATATCAGTGGCGCACGCAACTCGAGGCCTCGTTCCCCCTTTCGCGTTTCGCGTAATCAACCGCTCATTGTAAGCGTTATCGGCGATAAACACGAATGTGGCGAATCACGGGTGGATGATCCTCGACTAGAAAATGGAATTTCATTAACCCCCCGCCCCCCCCCCTCCCATGAAACGTGAACGATCTCGGCCAATTCCGGTGTCCCGGTTAATTACGAATTTATTCGTTCGTTTCCAGCCCATGTTTACCGATTCATCGGCCCGCTTATTCTTCCGACTCGAGGACCGATATCGAGCCGATCCGTTGTTACCCCGATTCCGTTCGAGTGAGAGCTATCGCGCTTGCGCGGTCAATTTCGTTCCGCCCATAATCGTTCCATCCACCCCCTCTATCCACCTCGTTCCATTTACTTATTATTATGGGGATCGTATCGATACTCACCGATCCAACAAATTCTCGATCGCCTCGTAAGCGTCCTGCAGATTCAGATCCCTCGCCTCCCTGGCCAACATTATCGTAGGCTCGAGCTGCGACAAGTTGGACGGAAGTCTGTAATTGAATTGGAACGCGGACGAGAACACCACGCTTCCCCTTTTGTTCATGGAAACCGGAACCGAGACGCCGATCGTGAACTGGAAAATGGAGGGCGAGGGGGCGAGTTTAAGGGGGCGCACGAAACAACTTCTCTCTCAAGGGGGGAGAAGAAATCGGAGGGGAGGAAGGAGAGGGCGGAGGAAGTCGTAGAGGAAGTTCGCGAAGGTATCGTTGTGAAGTTTTTTTTTTTTTTTTTCTTTTTATTTTTCGAGAGGAGAAGTTTCGTTTGGGAAAAGCGCTTTCGTTATTGGTGGCACTTTTCTCTCTCTCTCTCTCTCTTTCTCTTCTTCTTTAAATTTTTCTTAGAGAATTAAAGAGAAGAAACGAGACGAATAAAAGTAACATGCTAAACTTCAATTTATACATCTTTCTTCGGATTTCCGCCAATCTGGTGATGTAATAAACCGTTCAAGTTTGCTTTCCGAGAAAAAATGGCGAAAGAAGGAAATAACCGCAGGAACCGCACAAAGGGGCAACGAAAACCAAGGAAGTAGCGAAGTGGATCTCGACACGGAACGTTGTGGAGTGAACCTTTTTAAAAAACAGATATATATATATACAATATTTCCACGTTCTATAAATTTCTCAACGATATACCACTGAAATCCGAAAAACAGAATATTAAAATTATTTTCACGATTACAATTTCGTTGGGAAAAAATTTTTCTACGCTGATACTATTTGAATTTGACTGATTTCGATCGCTTCCGATATTAAATTACGAAAGCGGATCTCGATAACTCGAAAAACACTGCTTCGAGTAAAAAGATTTTAAAACGCGAAAATCCGATTGAACTTGGAGAATATAATAAACAACGTGTAAAAAGCAGGAAAGGATTAAAATCGAGAGAAAAAATTACCTGGAACAACGAGTTGTTGGGGTAAAGAAGGATACTTTCGCTTCTCCAAACGAACGAGCACACTATCACTACGGCTCCCAATGGAAACATGTTAATTTTAAAACACTTGAAGTTAAAAAAAAAAAAAAAAAAAAAAACGACGGCAAACGGAAAAAGATTTTAGATCGACTGGTCGACGAGCTAACGACGAGCTACCAGTTCGCACGACCGACAACGCGATAATGAATGCGTAGTAAAGGAAGACCGTGAGGTATGTTGTTTACGTTCGACGCTCGTGATTGCGAGTCGTTCCTTTCCAAGAATCACTCTGCGGTTAAATTGTACGTACAAATTCTCTGGAAAACGAAATGTCAAGATCGGATAAACTTAAACATAAACGAAAACAAAGGTCGAGGAGTAACGCACACGTGCGAATAAATGTTTATTTTCTTTTGATTCTATTTTAATTTTATCCGACGATAAATTATCTCGATGCGACATTTAGAAGAAAAAAGAAAAAAAGAAGAAGAAGAAGAAGAAGAAGAAGAAAATTTGCGATTGTCGATCGAATCGAATAAGAGGGGGAACAAACGCGTTTCGGTATGGAAAACCGGAGCCCGATTCATCGGTATATCAGCTTAACCCCTGCCAACGATAGCGTTGTAAATCCAATAATTGGCCGGCCCCGGCTGTTAAGCAGCTTTAATTAATTCCGTTTCCAACGCGGCGCGATTAACGATCGAAGTTGAATTAAAATCTCATCCGAGGATAGGCGATCTCCCGAAGAAACGCGAATTTCTTCCTGTCAGAAATTATTCCCTACTTTTTTCCTTTTATCCTTCGATAAATAATCTTTGATCGCGCTAAAATTTTTAATTCGATCTTGCAGAAGTTTAATCGATTTCTTTCTTTTTCTTTTTTTTTTTTTTTTTTTGAAATAGAAGGGAAATAGAAATTATCGGAGCGAGGGGAGAATTATTTTTAAGTTAGAAAAAGTTAGAATTGTGATATTATTCGATTTTGTTTGTTTATCTAGTTATTTTGATTTAAATTATTACACGATAATCACACGTTTGGCACACGCAACACGGTTGGCATAAACGATATCATCCGATTCAATTTTGCAATCTTGCCGAGAGGCAGCGCCAATTGGCGGCGTTCGCGCGGTATTCGTAGAATTGTATTAAAAAATACATCGAATTTATTTATACATTTGACGTGATTCCATTATTATTGCATTCCAATTAAATTCGTCGAAATTAAAGCAAAGTTATTATCTCCAATTTCCAAAAGAATCGAGCTTGTCTCGTTTCTAATAACTCTTATGAACGAACCCGTTCATAACAGAGAACGCAAAAAACACAATTATGGAACATTCAATTATACGTACATATACGGAGAGATTAAAAGAGAAGAAACGTATTTAAAATATTTTCGAGGGAATCGTCCCTCCATTCCAAAAAAAAGAATCGATACCGTGTTACGCGATCTCTCATAGATACGCGTATCCTGAAAGAAGGCAACCCGCTCTGAGCCTTTTTTCATAACGACGCCATATTTTACGGTCACGTGGATCGTAAAACACCGTAATGACGATGGTAATAAAGCGATAACTTATGACGGGAATAATGCATCGATGTCGCGAGAAGAAAATGATAAAAAACGACCGCATTTGTCTTCATCCGAGACGCGGACGCTCTTGTCTCTCCTACTTTCAATTACAATTTTCTTCCCTATCCAAATTCTATCGTTGGTTTCTGTCGATAGATAACTCGCTCGTCATCGCCGAGGTTTATTTTAACCCGAAAGAAAATTTAAAAAAGAAGGAGAGAGGAGAAGGGAAATTTTCGAGGGGGAAATGCCGAGAACAGTCGAAAAATCGGGAAGGGGGGTCCTTCGAGATAGTAATTTGAGGCGGGAAGAAGGAGACATCTCGTTGGAATTCTCGAATTCTACTCGATCCGTGATCCGATCACCTCTTCTCGCTTCGAGAACGAGTTCCAAAAAGGGAATTTTGCCGCAGGAATTACGAATCCCTCCCTTTCCATTTGTTAAATATTTTAATAGAACGTTGCGCAACGAATAACCATAACAGGGGTTGTGGGGAAGAAAGTCGGGAATCTATGGTTTTCCTCCGACGGGTGATCTTAAATAACGATGGCTCGAGACACGAGATCTCTCTCGTGGAAACAAGTTTTATACACAAGATAAATTGTCACGGAGCCGAGGAATAAAATTCAAGGTACGAAAAGGTAGAAGGTTGGATCGAAGAAACAGTTCTTCGGAGGAAAGAGATTTCGCCGGAACGAAAATTTATAATGGATGGACCGATAAAATGGCGAGGGGGGGCAAGAGTGGATATGGCCGCCCAACGCGGAAGGAACGCGTCCATTCTTTCGTTCCGCGTGATCCACGAATTTGATTTGACTGGAATAATAAAAAGGGAACGAAGGAAAGCGTGGGAAGGGAAGCGTATCATTTTCGCAGGAGAGGGAATATCTCGTGGGATCCTTGTGGAAAAATCCAAAACCTTCCTTCTTCCTCCCTTTTTACCTCCCCTCCTGCTCCCTTCATTCTTCCATCGTTACTTCCCACAGCTGCACCCCCCCCTCCCCCCCAAGAGGTCGAGAGTTGGTGGAAGGAGCACGTCTCGCGAAATCGTTCTCACTATCGCGGTTTCGAAGCAGACCGGAATAGTAACGAGAGGAAACTAGAGACGTCTGTAGAAATTTTCATCCTCCATTGTTTCTCCCCTGTTCTCTCCAAAAAATTTTTCCACGCCGAGGATCTACTTCCTCCTCGAGGATGCGGAGATGCAGAGTTAACTCTAGTCCATCGTTAACCAAACTCGCTCCACCCCGATCGAATTTATTCTTTAACGAGAGATGGTATCAATTTGATACCACTATGCATGGTAAAGAGAAATAATAAACGACGAGATATCTTAATTCTCGCCTTAATTCTCTCTCAACGCCGAATAAATCTTGCGTCGATTCTTGTTCCCGAAATTTGATATCGCGTGGGGGAGAGAAAAAGGACGAAGACGTCAGAAGAGAGGAAAACAAGATAAAATATTCCGTATATTTTCATTAATTTCACATCGAGCAAGGATTAAACCTCGAAAGAAATTCTAAAAACCTCTTCTTTTCCCCGAAGAATTCGCGAAATTCGAAACGAAGAATTCGTACGGTGGGGAATTAATACGGGACCAACGCCCATTCGGGAGGGAAAAAAGAGATCGATAAGATAAATCCACGGTAAAATGTTGGAGGCGTTCGACTCTGGGCATCCCAACGGGGCAAACGTTCCACTCTTCCGAGGATACTTCCCCGTCTTCTCTTCCTGTTTTTATTTTCCCTCCTCCATATTATATACATACCAGGCGGAGGAGAGTGGCTGTGTCCTACACCCCTCGCCTCACCCCGCCTTCCACGAGCTTTTCCTTCCAGCTTTTAAGCGTTACGCGTACTTGGCTCGCCCCGCACGATAATGGACTATGCTTTTTAAAGTGCTTTAACACCGGCTATTATCGTTTTGCAACCGGTTCACCGACGACGACGTCCACCGAATTTCTCCTTCCTTCTTCCTTCCACCGACTTCTTCCTTCCTCCCAGACAAAGTGTCGATCGAAGTCGATAAGAATCTTTCTCTCTCTCTCTCTCTCTCTCTCTCTCTCTCTCTCTCTCTCTCTCTCTCTCTCTCTCTCTCAGAGGGAACTTCACGCACGCCTAGATTGTCCATTTATCCCTAATTCACCATCGTAAACGATCGCATAAGTCGGGCGGAATTTTCAATTCCAACTTCTCCACGACACGACCACCCGTTTCGAAAACTTTTTACATTATAAAAGGGTCTAATGCGATTTAAGGAAAATCCATTCCCGGGGTGTGAAATTTAAAAGTAGCAGAGGAGAAAACTTTTTTTTTTTTTTACCTTACCTATTTTCATAACTAATGCGAAATGTGGCGAAATAAATATGTAACGATCGAAGAATGAATATATATATGCGCTATTTGCTACCACGACGAATAAACAGTTACCTTTATAATAATAACAAAGTTTCATAAATTAATCGTAGGTTCATGGAACATTTTTGTAGAAATTTGTATCGATTTTATATCATCTTTCTAATTCTTCGAATATGATAAATGAAATTTTGAAACTCGACCACGATCGAGATTTACAAAATGTTATGTAAAAGATCCTGTGGACGTTTTTATCCCATCATAATCTATAGTTATTCATAAATTCAATTAATACATTTTATTCGCGAAAGAGATCCTAATTGGTTTATTAGAATAGACAAATAAAATTATTTCTTTTATTAACAGAGAGAATGAGAAACACGTAAAAAGAAAAAAAAAATGGAGAATTCACCGTAACGAAAAAAATTTTACTTGTAAGGAAAAACGATTAAAAAAATAAGATCCAAAGAATATTGGATCCTCGGAAATTTGTGCAAGTTTCGTTCGATCGAACCAGGCTCGTTTCTTATTCAAGAGTGTCGTTGTTTAGGAACAAGCATTACTCGAAAGAATTGTGTTCGCGCGGGTGCATGGGTTCGCGAAGATTCTTTAATTTCGAATTCTTCTCCCAAGAACAGAGCGAGACTCGACGATTGCTGCGGGTCGCTTGACTTTTAGGCAAATGAAAACTTCCTCCCTAAGAGGAGGAAGAGGGAAGACTTCAGAAAGAAGAAGAGGACGGGACGCACGGTTAAGAAATGCTTTCACGGTGGCACGACACCTTGAGGAACGGCCCTCGCCTCGAACGGATGAATTTTAGGATGCATCGTTTCAGCATAATCGAGCGTTCAACCGATCCTTCCGCCGGAACGATCACCTCCTCCTCGATGCACTCGATGCCCTCTCTGACCGAGTACTCGCTCTCGTTTATAAATTACGAACGCGTGGGCGTGATCCCTTCTTCTTCTTCTTGCTTGCTTGCGCATTTAGGCTACTTTTTTCGGGTGAAAAGGTTCTAAGAGCAAATGTTTCATTAACCTCGTTTTGCACGATGATTAACATCGTTCGCCGTTATGAAATATTTTTTCAAAGAGTTTCCGGACCCAAGAGAACGAGGGAATAGAAAATTCAAACGCTCGCATTCGAAGTGAATAATAATCGCAGTGACGAATAAAATTTAAACGAATTTAAGAATTCTACGTATCTTGTTCAAAGCGTTGAATAACTGTAATTATTGGGTTGTTCGGGATGTTTTTTCTTCATGACAATGAAACACCAAGTCGTTTCATGTATAATCACGAACAATCGAATCCGACAAATTTAATCTTGTAGCAATTTCTCGATTCGTTGGTTTGCTTCGATCAGTGCCTTCATTTTGTCTTCATCAGCTTCAAGAACGTGACGCATTTTTAATGTTCTAAAATTTTGAAAATCAGTTTTGACACTGGCATACACCTTCTCCATAAACTTCACACAACTTTTTTCTTGCCTGAAACGGCATTCTTACCTTTTCGATAATAAAATATGCCGAAAATACTCCTTTTGATCTTGCACCTTTGTCATCACGCACGAAAAAACACAACTGCGCAGAATCAAACGAATTTTTCTTACAAAACCAACGAATTGCCAACTCTCAAAATATATAATAATAACACGGTTTAGAATGAAGTTGGCTGAATAAACCGTGTTCGACACGTAGCGACACTCGTGTGAAAAAACGAAATTACTTTTCGAACGATCCAATGATTGTGAGGTTATACAAAGAGTGATCAATTACGATTGTAAGTGTTATTAACTTAAAAGAATTTTTTTCTCGCGTAATCGATTTCGATCGCACACAGATTAGAAAGGATCGTCTTCATCCAAGAAAAATTCGAGTTCGAGCTCGGTTTCCAACGAAATATCTTCCTCGTCCAGAGTAAATTTTACGTGATCACTGTGGAGAACACGTCAAGCATACTTCTCGGGCATTCTGGATAAAGGGCGTGGCAGTTTTCCGCCGACATCTGCTCGCCCAAACGCTCTGCCGCGCTGTACTCTCGATCCCCGTACTCGTCGTACCGCTCCTCGGTGTTCGAAGGCCTGAAATTCCAAAGCGCGAATACGCGTCTCGAACCGTGAAAAATTACAATCGTCGTCGTCGCGAGAGATCCGCGGGACGAGGAAACGGTCTGGAAAAGAATTCGGTGAGTCAGGAGAAGGAAGGATGAAGGAAGAGAGAGAAAGAGAGAGAGAGAGAGTGGCACTCCGGGATCGATAACGCCAACAGATATGCAGAAGGAGCTTCCAAGTTATTTACCAGCTTCCCTGGCGTTAATCGTCGTGCAGACCATCGCTTAATCCCTCGCCATTCGCGCTATTATATTATTAATTCACCAGTAGGGACGTAACTTCGTACTTTGGTAAGTTAATCGAGCATTTTTTTTGTACAAAAATATTAGAATTGAAATTTTTAATCCGTCCCCATTTTTTAGTTTACAATTCTTCTCGAGATTTTAATTTTACTTTCGAGTTTCAAGCGATGCGTCTCGAACAAAAATTGATTTTTATTTATTTTTTTTTTTTTTTTGATGACTGAAACATCATGCGCAACAAGCGTGAACAAAGCTTATTGTAAGCACAATATATGCTTATATGCTTAGATTAGATTAAATTGATTTCATAAGGATCGTGAATAATCTTTTGCTCCTTCTCTTTCTTCTCTTCTCTTCTCGGTGACTGGACTGGATTGAGATTATTATCGAAATATCGGGATAAGTGGCCTGGATCTTTCTTCCTGAGAATATTTTTTTTTCTACTTTTCACGATTACCTGAAGAAGACGTGCAACAGCTGTCCCAACAAACCGTGAGTACCATCGAAAGGAGCGGAGGCAGCTTCGCAAATGGCCTTCAATAGGCAGGCCTTCCCACCGAATCCGTACAGGCCAGCCGCCTTTTCCAACGCTTTGTAAACGCTCCATCTGCTCTTCTGCGCTCGAGAATAATAGACCCCCGGAACGGTGAAGTCTGTCGCGTTCGATGGCAAGTTGTACACGATCTTGGTGAAGACACCGATGATTATGCTCTCGAAGTCCAGTTGCAACGGCGTTCCCAGTCCCAGGATCAGCTATATATTGCGTTGTTCCAAATATTATAAAAGATTTATAAGTTTTTAACAATTTTATATCATCATCATCATCCTTAAAAATACACATACATATATATATATATTTATTTATTTTTTAAAATTTTCTGAAACAGATTATTTGAGAATGACTCGATCGATCGGATTGAAAGTAGGTAGCGATGCGAGATATTTTTCGAGAAGTGGAGAAAAAAAATCTGTGGAATATTTACACGTTTCTCGTCATATTTCGCGTTTTCACGGGACGAAGCTCCGTCCGAGGAACATTTTCGAACGGAATCCATCGGTAGGAGCGCGTAGATTCGATCAGAGAACTCGTTGTTACACCGGTTATTCATGAGAACGAGATCCCCAAAGAGGAAATTGGATGAACTCAGACGAGATCGGGTTAAAATCCTAGTTTCCGGATTCTAGGAAACGGATCGTGGAAATCCCTGATTCCCTCCCCCCTCGCTATCTCTTCCTTCGCGTATCTGCGTAGAAATAACTGGTAGGAAACGCTAAACGTTAATCGTTGGGGCTACGCGATTTCCGCCTCGTAACTTTCGCATCGAAAACGGCGGGGATTCGCCTTATTCAGCGGACAGATACCGAGATAGATCGGTATTTTTAACAATAAACATTTACACCCCCACGTAAAATATAGATGTTTCAGAGATCGCGTAATTATCTTTGTTTTCACGCCAAGAGATTCGTTCGTATAACACGAGAATATTTTAAATCTCTCCGGAGAAAGAGAGGATAGCCGTTAAAGCAGTAGCTCGCGTAACCTCGTGAATCAGAGAGTTTCCAAGGAAACTATCGATATCGATATCCTCGAGGATCGGGAGTAAGTAAATTCAGAATTTCCGGATCGACCACTTATCTCGACAGGAACAACGGTATCGTGGGAAGCAGCCGCGATGGTCAGCTCCTTGGATGACGACGGCTTCCTGGCCCTTTGCGCATCGATCTCGATTGGCGACGGGCCACCAGCTCGAATAAAAAAAGAGAAAGAGAGAACGGTAACCCTAACCCTTCTCCACCCCCCTGATATCGTTAAACTGTCTTCCCCAGACAGACGCGGCCCGTCGAAAAACGATTCTCCGTGGGAAATTTTCGCGGTTTTATCGAAAATTCATAGGCCGGCCCGTGATGCCGCCGCCAACCCCCTCGTCGTCGCCTCCACGTGTGCGCAGCATGAATATGCATGCGCATGCACGTATGCCGCCGCACGGGGGGCTGCGGAACGGCATGGCGACGCCCGATACTGCCCCGCGGGGGTGGATATCCACGGGTTGTATATCCATCCGCAGCAGAAATTGGATGAGCCCTGAAAGGTCAGGCGGGGAACGCCTGGTATCGAATCGGATCGGATCGGGATATGGAAGATGGAAATCGTTATTTACAAGTTTCCCCTCTTATTGTTATTATCTTCACCCCCTCCCCTTATTGTAATTTTTTAACAGAAAGAAAGAAAGAATTTTTGAACACCGATTTGTCTCGAGAGTTTCCAGATAGGACAGGAGCGGGGAGAGAGATTATTTAACAGGAAAGTTATCCTACGTGGAATTCATTTGATTCGGTATACCGCGAAGGTGGTGAGCCGGATCGTGGAAAATCCAGGTAGTTGGTGCGCGGCAACTACTATCCCGATCTCGGCCCTGTTCATCCTATCGACCCGGGCAGGTTGTAATCCGAAGGACGACCGTTTCCAAACACGGTGGACGGAAAATTGGATGAGCCTCGGACATGTGGCGTGGCCGGGAATTATTCAAGAAGCGGCCGGTTACGTGAACTGTCCCCCGTATATTTTCTCATTCCAAATAATCGAGCGTACGGATAATATGCTCGTCGCTATTCCTTCGAATAGAAATATAAAAAGAACAAAAAAACACAAATCTGACAAATCCATGATACCTCGAGTATATCTTCCACGGAATTTTTTTCAATCAACGTAGAACGAGAGGAAAAAGGTGGATCAGAGGAATCGTTCGAGTTTTCCCTCGAGCATGATGGAAAGGAGAAAAAAAAACGGATCGCGAACACTTGAGCGACTCCTCCTCGATCGATTCATTAGCCTTCGTCGATCTTAACCGCGGTTTTTGTACGTACCAGAAGCTGGGAGTTTTTGGGGAAAGCGAGAGCCCTTGGTCGCCGCGAGGGACTTTCCAACAGGCCGGTCGCCTCCTCGTTCGTTTCCGTGAAATCGTCCTTGTCGTCCTCGAGCCTCTGCGCCAGACACGGCGACAGGGAAACGAGGGCGAGGAACACCACCGAGGACAACCTCGTCCCAGTCATCCCGTTGCGGCGCGGCAGTTCTCCAGGCCCCCCGAGCGACTTCGTTCGTTCTGTCGACGAGGTCGAACGGACCGACTGGTCGTAGATCTCGACGCGAGCTCGAGCATTCGACCACCTTCGAAAACTCGAACGTATGGATGGGATGGTACCGTTTTGTATCTCGGGTACAACGAATGACGAGTGTAAATATTGATCGAGAGGTGGAGGTAAGTGGCCCCAGCCGCGGTGTGCTCGTGTCCATTCGTTCGATTCGCACCGGGAGGACGAATGTTAATCGACGAAGAGAGAACAAGTTTGGTAACGGGACTGTTGGTTAACGAGCGATTCGGGTGCTCTTCTCGTCCGAGCAAATCTTTGCTTCGTTTTGGGATTTCGCATCCTCCTCCTCCTTCTCGTCCATTTTTCGAAGATTCGAGAGGAGGCTCGAAAGTGGCGCGGAGGGGAGGAGAAAAAAGAGGAAAATTATATATTATATAATACAGGGAGATCCAAGCAGAGAGAGAGAGAGAGAAGTCGCGGAGCGGATAAATTTCAATCGATATTTTGCCTAGATTTATTTCGATCGCTTTCTTCTTCGCGCGAAAATCGCGCTGAGGATTTCTGGGTTTCTCTCGAGATTTTTAAGGCGGTTAAACTTACTGCTCCGCGAGTGAGTACATTTTCAACGATGAAGAAACTTTTGGGGCTGCGCTTAAATCAACGGCCATCCGCGCAATAAAACCCACACGAAAGTTCCGACCTGGTCTAGATTCCTTCGATTCACCGGAAGAGGGGGAGGGGGAGTTGGAACAAGGAGATCCGGTGAAATTTTAGAAAAAGGTTTCGTGGTATATGTGTGTATATATATATATATATATATCCAAGTAACTTCAAATGATTCTTGGTCGAATCGAACAGTGGAGCTACGATCTTCCGTCATTAAATCGAATCGCAACCCCTTTCCAACTCCGTAAATTCATCCTCCGTTACATATACACGAATCTTTTTCCTCGTGAAACGTAACCACGTGAACCGAACGCATACCCCTGCCTTTTATCTATCTGGGTTAAACGGTATCCATTTGTCCTGCTCCTTATCCGGCTGGCCGAGACGTCCGATCCGGAAATCGAAAGCTCGTCCCTCGTCGTTCTCTCCTCGTCGACCAAGAGAGAGAGAGAGAGAGAGAGAGAGAGAGAATCGATGGAACGGCGGTTGGAAACGGAGGTTGCCGAGTAGTACGAACTGCGATTAAATCGCTGGATCGCCAGTCTCGTCGATGTTTCATATACGCTCGGATGCTGGACGTGTTTCGAACGTTGTTCGCCAATTTTGTAATTTGTAATTTAACGAAGGTATGAAGTGCATTTTGCATCGAATCGACGAGCACAGATAATACAAATTTTACGTACGAAAATATTTTTCGAGATTTCTTTTTTTAGAGACTTTTAGAGTTTAGAGAAAGTAGAAATTGTATCTCGAAACATAGAGGGAACGATAGTCGTGAAATTACGCGCGAAATACACAGATAGAGAAGGGGGAGAAGGGGGAGTTTTTTTTCCAACTTTTCCTCTAGGGTCAGTTTCCTGTGCCGAAACCGTCCTCGAAACTTTATCCCGTTGCAATGCTAATTAATCCGAATGGCTATCGACTTGTAAATGGCGCGGCTCGACGAGTTTTACCTTTCGAGCGGGAAAGAAAACTCCTGAAACAAAGGAAACGCGTCAACCGAGTTTTCCTCGACTGGTTAATATATGGAGAGCGGGGGAGAGGATTTGGAATTTTTCAAGTTAAGGTTAATATATGGGCAGAATTCTCGAAATTTTTCAACTAAAAAAAAAAAAAAAAAAAAAAACTATAACTCAAATATACTACAATTTTTTATTTTTTTTTTTTTCCCCTCTTCCCCCAAGCTTCAAGCTTGTCTCAACTTTCTCCACGGTGAAATTTATTGCTTCGTAGCTTGCCCGATTGCTCGACACTATTTATCATTTTCCATTCTCTGACCGCGTCTGACCTCTCTTTTTCCCCTACGTTACGATCGCCCCGTTCGAATCGAAAGCGAGGATCTTTCGAGGAGCGAGTGTCCTAATTGATGTCCTCCCCTTCGTCCCCTCCCTTCCGTTCAAAGATCGGAGAAAAGTGCGAAAAATTGGAAAATCTTTTGGGCGAAACCGGTTCGGTATGTCGTCCAAATAACAATGCGTTCGTTAAACCGTTAAAATGCCGGTTGACGAGCTCGATTCCGCGCATCGCGAATTATCGCCAATTAACCGTGTACACCGAATGGAGCGAGTTTGGAGATAAAAAAGAAAAGGAAGAGAAAAAAAGGGAAAGAGAACGGAGACTGGAGAGGAGTGGGGAGAGGGTGGTCCTGCAAGAGCTCAAAGGTTTCGGCCTCGGTGGCGGAAGTAAACGATTGTAACGATGCGGAAGTAAAATCGTATATTGTCGGCTCGTGTTAATTACCACGAATGGCTTTGCCCTGGAAAAACCATCCTCTTCCTTCTACCTCCCCTCCCTCCTCTTCCTCTCCCTCTCTCTCTCTCTCTCTCTCTCTCCACCGGTTTCTCTCGGTCACCAGCGTCACGGGCCATTTTTTTTCCTTTCCCCTCCCCTGCCCCGCTCTCTCTACACCCTCTATAAATTTCAACCGGAGTATTTTCTCTTTACGTGTACCTGTTATTGAACGAGAGAACTGCCAATAACGGCGGATAACTGCGTCACGTTTCGCCACGCGAACTCCCCCTCCCCCTCTTTCTTCCTCTCGATCCCTGCTAGATCCGAGTCTCTCCACCCGCCGCCATTCGCGCGCCCTTTTCTTCCCTTGATATTTCTAATATCGTACGACATCGGCGCACATAAATTACTCCCCGGCTTTCGATACAGTGTTTCGTTTCAGCCGCAACCCTCCTCCTCCTCCTCCTCCTCCTCCTTCTCCTCCTCCTTCTCCTCCTTCTCTTCCTCCCCGCCATTTTCCAAACCGCTCCATCCTCCCCCGACGAGTTAACGCGTACGACGACCACTGCTGACTGAAAAGAGGGCTTCTCTTCTGGCTGGAAAGAGGGTATCCGAACGTTTGTCTCATTTCACGGAGATATATATTTGCATATCGCGAAAATCCTTTACGAATAAACTTTTAATTAATTGATTAAATCGATTGGCTAGGAAAATTGGTTGACGGAAATATGTTTTGGATTTTGGGCGAGAGGGAAGGGAAGGGATAAAGTTGGAGCGTAGAGCGGAGTCGAGTTTATTGTTCCATCGATCGAGTGAATTTTAGTATTATTCGAAACAGCGTATTAGCCGAATCGTTGGTGGACCTCGGTGAAGTAATCCAGGGGGCTCTCCTCGCATTCGGGAAATATAGTATCGCAGGAGTCGATCCCTCGTCGGCCCATAATTTCAGCGGCGTGATACACTCGATCAAAGTCGGTCCTCAAGGCCTCGGAGGTGGTCGACGGTCTGAAAAGCGACGGGAAAATTAATCGATCGATCCTCGAGTTATTTAAATTTACACAATAATCCCCCCAAATGAATTTTCGGTCGAAAATTAAATCGACCGTTTCGTTTACACACCTCTGTTGAATAATAGTTGCTCGTTGAATATATATACACTCGATTGCCAATTACGCATAGATACCCTTCTAATTAGAAACTAGAGCAATTGGAAATTATTAGAATCGATAAGAAAAAATTCAATTAAAGATATCGCGTGAGGATACGTATTTCAGGTTTCATAGAAAAAATTAATATTCCTCGCTCCGACGTTCCTATCGAAAGGTGGAACGAAATCGAGAATACCTGGGGATAATTTAATATTCTCCATATAATGTAATCAGATCGGCGAAAGGAGAGTCGAGACGAGCAAGCGATCGCACGGGTTCGATGGGTTCATCGCCCGTTCAGAGGATCGGTCGGATACTCACGTGAGGAGAAGATGGACGAGCTGGGAGGCGAGGCCGTGAACTCCGTCGAAAGGCGACGCGGAAGCCTCGCAGATCGCCCTCAAAAGGCACGCTTTTCCCGACCGCGAGTCACCGAGGGCCGACTCGAGGATCTCGTAAATTTCCCATCTGGTGAGGCCGCGCGCCACACCTATCCGGGCATACAAAATAGCGGATGAGCGGATGAGAGATGGGACGATTAACGGGGTCGAGGGTGAAGAGAGAACGTAGGTTGCGCTCGTGCACACGGGACACGCAACAAAAGGATAGGCTTGTTAATATTAAAGAAAGTAAAGAAGGAAGATCCGCTTCTTATCCAGGCCGTGTCGAGCCAGGTTGATTCGTCGGCTCTGAGTTGGGTGATTTCGAGAAATCGATCCACCGGAGGGTGGGATCTTTCGATCGAAGCAACTCGAGTAAAACGAAGATTCGTGTTAAGATTAAGATTGAAGTTGAATCATAAGAATTCGAAACTCACGGAACTTGGGGAAAAAAATGGAGGAGCGATGAGGAGGGATGAACCTCGACGCGGGTCGAAAATTTACGAAGCTCGTGTTAAGATTCTAATTTTAAACGCGAAATTTAAACAAGCTGTTAAATAAGTTGAATCATAAGAATTCGAAACTCACGGAACTTGGAAAAAAAAATGGAGGAGCGATGAGGAGGGATGAACCTCGACGCGACGAATCGAAAATTCACGAAGCTCGTGTTAAGATTCTGATTTTGAACGCGAAATTTAAACAAGTTGTTAAATAAGTTGAATCGTGAGAATTCGAAACTCGCGAGACTTGGGAGAAAAAAAAAATAGCGATGGGTGAAGAATTCAAGAAAGGAACGAATTAAGGGGTTGTTAAGAGGGGATGTAGTCCCGCGAATGATTTCGAGAATCTTTCGATCAACCTTGACGCGACGCGAGTAAAACGAAGCTCGTGTTAAAATTGTGTTGAAGTTGAATCGTGAGAATTTGAAACTCGCGGGACTTGGGAGAAAAAAAAATGGAGGAGTGATGATCTCCGAAGAATTCGAGAAAGGAACAAATTAAGAGAAGGGTTGTTAAGATGTAGTCCCGCGGATGATTTCGAGAATCTTTCAATCAACGCGACGAATCGAAAATTCACGAAGCTCGTGTTAAGATTCTGATTTTGAACGCGAAATTTAAATAAGCTGTTAAATAAGTTGAATCGTGAGAATTCGAAACTCGCGGGACTTGGGAGAAAAAAAAAATAGTAATGATCTCCGAGGGGTGAAGAATTCGAGAAAAGAATGAATTAAGAGAGGGGTTGTTAAGAGGGGATTGTTAAGAGGGGTAATCCCGCGAATGATTTCGAGAAAAAATGGAGGAGCGATGATCTCCGAGGGGTGAAGAATTCGAGAAAGGAACGAATTAGGAGAAGGAGGGGAAGGAGAGAAGGGAAGAAGCGAATGTTTGGGCGGAAAAATGAGAAATGCCGGAAGCTGATGAACGAAAAAAAGAAGAGAGAGAGAGAGAGAGGGTGCGTGGTAATACCTTGGTAATCGGGGTTCGGCTCGTCATCCCCGTCGACCTCGACACCGGGGCTGATCGATCTGTCATAGCGAACGTATGAATCCGTCAAGTAGGAGGCGTTATAGGGCAGGGCGTAATTAAATTTCATCACATATCCGATAATCGTGCTGACGTCGACTTCCATGGGTAAACCGAGGCCGAGGATGAACTGGAACGGTTTTCAAATACACGAAGGTGTCATCGATCGTTTATAATAACCGGCAATCGAATCCCAACTGGCAGCCTCGTTCTCGTTCTAGCTAGTTAGCTCGTGACATTCGACTGAACGAAATTAGATGCAGGAAGAAGGGTGGGAGGGGAGGGAATTATCACACGAATCATCTGCCAGTGAACGGGAATAATTCGTACCATTCATCGATCGATGACAACTTCACGTACGAATCCAAGTTAAATTGAAAATACGAAAAATTATTTCCTCTTCGATTCGAATCGTACTTTAAAAATTTTTAAAGTTTACAATCGGAATTCTTTTCTTATTTTCCTTATACTTTGCTTGCTCTTTGCGTGCTCGAAAAGAGAAATTTTATTGCTTATTCTTACATTCAGAAGAATGTAAATAAATTCGCGAACGATTGCTTTTTTCTTTTTCTAAAATGTGTACGATAAATACGCACGATTTTATAATTATATAAATCCGTTCATCGAGTCTTATCGATTCCCAACAACGTTAATATCGCTGTTTTCCGCCACTTCCGCCTGTACACGGTTCGTAATCGTTTACAATTCCCATGGAATTACGATTATCGATCGATCGTCCAATTCCACGGTTGAATCGCAAACTATAATAACGCGAACGCTGCAATTACAGATAATTGCATCGCGATTGCGTGTATGAAACGCCTATCGAGCCATCACCGAGTCAGACACCGTTGTGTCTTTAGAAACGTACGCCCCTCCCTTCAACGTACGTTCACACTTTCACCGTTTAACGCGGTATGCGCATCGCTTAAACAATTAGCGATCGATATCCAATTAGAATCACTGGCACAATTAAACGTATGGGGAGGGGGAGAGGGTTGTCGACTGAAGCGACAATTCGTAGTATTACGGTGCAATTACCCGTCGATATAATCTATCAGGGTAAACTTTACCCCTCGTCATAGATATAACTTCCTTCGTTTGTTAAACCGTGAAATCGTCGACCATCGAAAACGATACATGTATAATCGCGTTGGACTCGAATTTTCCAAAAAGAAATATTATTGGTTACTTAAAAAAAGAAAAAAAAAAAAGAAAAAAAGAAGGCAAAGATATCACACGATTACCCGAGTACCTGGACTTTGGTCGGTGCGTTCGTTCCAGGCGTTGGAAACACCAAATATCTCTTGTCGCGTTCGAGACACGATCCAGAATGTTGACTCGTGAACAGAAGCGAAAGCAGCAAGAAACGCCGCATGGCGATCGTCCAAGTGTAGCAGAGCGAATGCGTCGAAAAATCTTTTCGAGGTCCCATGATCGACCGCCAACCGGATGGCGAGTGCTCGTTAATAGACCCAATTAGTCGTGTATCGCGAGTTCGGCCGAATAATAAACCGGCTTCGATCGCGGTAAACGGCGCGGCATGGCGAAGTGGATGCATTTCACCAACGATATCTCGTTCACGGTGAAATTAATGCGACGATTTCATCAGCAACATTCCTGACAACATTCGTCCAATTGTTCTCGATTCCTCTTTAAAGATATAATATTTTTTTTTTTTTACTCCAAGGATGTTTTACGAGTACTTTCTTCGAAAATGTTCGAGAGAGCGGATTTAAATCCAGGGTTATCTTCGATTCGCATCGACTCTAACTCTTCCTTTCCTTTTTCCTCCAATTGTATCATTTTCATACGCGATATTTCCATTATATTCGTATTACGCGCTGGACCTTTCGTCACAGTCATAAATCTTCTGTAACAACGCGGAGAAAGAAGAAGAGAGGAATATATCCCCCCTCGGAAGCAAAGCACCCTGGGGATTGATTCGAAAATATCGAGTGGAGAATTTCCCCTCGAATATAAACGCGGATGGTGTCTCGGATGGATGAAAACCAAGCCAGGCTAATGAGAGAGAAAAACGCGGTTATGAAAGGTGATTATCGAGAGAATAGACGGTAGGATCGAAATCCCTTCCCCCCTCTCTCTCTCTCACTCTCCCTCTCTCTTTCCCTTCTTTATTCGCTAGCTGTCCCCGACGCTCATTTCCCCTTTTGAATAGGGAGGCGGCTGATTCCGAGTAGTTGCCGGTCTTGGGTTCGGAAAGGAAGAAGAAAGAATCGGATTTGCGGATCAAATATGTCGGAGGGATGGTTCCACTCGTTATCGAGCCGCCCGTGAATCGGCTGACACCGATCGTTTGGTCACAAAGGAGGGAACGAAAATTGCCCGTTTGCAAGTCGGCCGAGTAGATTCCTCGATGGGATATCGGAATGGGGCAGATCGATCGAGTATGGAAATTTCCTTACGGGAAAAATTTCGAATATCGATCGACAAATATGGCGGATCGATCGTTGTTATTGTAAATTTAAATAAATAATCCACTCGTTTCGAAGCGGAAAATTTATAGAAATTTCGCAATATTCGTCGATCCAATCCAACTTCCGGATGAAAACATCGACTCGGCATCCTTTTCACGGATTGGACACATCTCGTCGGAGCCGGTAACTGCGGTTCATTCGTCTTCCCACAGGCCGATGAACGCTTTCACGTGGCCAGTTTATTTCGGCGACAATTTATCCCCATCTGGACGAGGAAATCCTAAAAAATAGCGCCACTCCTCCCTCCTTTTTATTCCCCGTTGAATTCGGTATTGGGAAGAAGAAGAAGAAGAAGAAGAAGGAGGAGGAGGAGGAGGAGGCGCGGGGATTGTGCGTTACCATTGGCTACGGTGAACGAGGTTTGCAACGTTGGAATTGAAACGATAAATTGCCAACACTGTGTGCGCGCGATCTCCGCAGATACCGTAATCGCCCCTCGAAAACGCTCCACTCCCTAGTTACTTCCGATCCTAGTTATCGCGTCCCGTGTTAGCGATTTGCTTCAATTATAGCTCGCTATTTTTTTCGTACCGTTTTACCTGGACGGAGCCGACACCGTTTAAATTGACGCTAATATCGAAATTTCTCGACTGGCCGCGAAGTGTATCGTGTTTGCTACGTGTTTGTTAACGTGAAACGCTATCGAATTTGGTGACGAATTCGAAGCTTCTTAATCTTTTAAAAAAAAAAAAGAAAACTTACGCGAGATAAATTTTACGAGTCCAGTCGTTAATTCTCTTTCCATTCGACGTAACATTCAATTTAAAAATCGTAGCAGGATTGGCGTTGCATCGAGCAAAATTTTCGGTTCGAAATTTATCATTTTTCGGGGGTTCTCTGGGTCGTTGAAGTCGAAAATCACGGTCATTTTTCACGGGAATAAACGGTTTTCGGGGTTCGAAAAAAATAGTTCGAAAATTTTCGTAATAAATGTGTCATATTCTCGGTCGAAACGTATAACGTATGATCATACAGATCCTTGGTAAATCGTCCGCGTTGTAATGTTACAGATATTAGAGATATCTGCTAATTTCATCGTCGCTCGTTAATACATTAAAATAAAACCGTAATTTTCCAATTCCAACGCTCTAAAAGAAAAAAAAAAAATCCTCGAAAACGGCAGACAATTCACCCAACAATTTCACTCGATGGATAAGATATAACGCTTACGAATAATCATACGATATAATTTACTTATCAACGCATATGTATACGAACGCGGGAGGAAAGTCAAAAGTTCGGTTCCAAAAATTTGAAAATGCGGCCAGAAATCCCTTTGGGAAATGCATATGCATACGCGATTACCCTTTATTTTCGCGGAGAAAGTACGTTTAATAAACGGTAAACGGAATAATGAATTCGCTTCAACACAAGTGTGGATAAACAAGCAGCAGAAGCGGAAAGAGTTTTAATAATCCGTTTGCGCGTCGAATCGCTCTCTCGACGCGCCAAACTTCCGGGACTATTCGTTTGTTGTTATTATTATTATTATTATTATTGTTATTATCATCATCATTATTCCAACGGAGAGGTGAGAAATAAGAGAAGGAGAAGAATGCACTCGGTTCATTGTGGATCGCGTTATCCCTGTTTAGAACGGGGATCGTAATTTTGGCCAGCCTTTGAACGGATTTACCGCGGTCTCTCACCGGGGTTGGCCGTGGGAACGTTACATCTCTGTCATTAAAATTAGAATGGTCGACGCTCAGAGGAAATTACAGACCGCCGGAACTCGCGGTGGATACCGAGGCGAAAGTCTAACGACTATACCGGATACGAAATGCACCGTGGTGCGTGGACTCGTAGGAAAGAAGTGAGTTTCCTTCGACCAGCTTTTCATCCCTTCGTTTCTTTTCGATTTCGGAGGAGGGGACAGGATCGGTCTCGGTTTTTTGTTGGAAAAAGCACGGGTTGATACGGGTTTATTTTGCGAGTTTATCGCAAGAGATCGACAGAGAGCGATAAAATGTTAACGTTTTAAGAATTACTTCGCGATAATTCGCAATGAATAATTTATTATTCGACGCGTCGATTAACGTCGAATTATCAAGGTTAATGCCTGAACAGGCGAGATTACGGGAAGAGCGGTTAACCGTTTTTTAAAAAGGGAAAAAAAGGTTGTTCCAGGATTTTAAATATAGTTAAAGTACTTGAAGTAATTTTATTCGAAATTTTAATTAATTAATTTCTTATCCCGTTAATATTCAACTTTGCTCCTCGATGCTTTTCGATGCTTTTCTCGTGCACGTTGTATATATATATATACGGAACGAATAAATCGTGTTTTTTCGCTTCTCGATGTCACTCGATGCTTTCAGCGTTAATTGGTTGCAGGAAAAAAAATTGTGTTAACTAATCATCAATTCTACGTGTTCTGGAATTTTTCCTTTTTTCGACATTTGGAAATTTGACAAACGCAATGCAACAGGACTCTTCCACCCTTCGTGGATGGCTCTTAGAAAAATCCAGGATACCAACGATTTATGGATACCAACCAGATTAATTATATTAAAGGTGTTGGGAAAAAAAAATTTTTAAAAAATACATCGTTGTAGCTGTTTACTACCGTTAACGCTTTCCTCAAAGATAAATTTTGCTATAAATCCGCGTCGTATAAATCCTGCTGGCTATTTGCACGATCGATATATTTTATTATAGCACAGCTTAACCGCTGCAAATTATTCGAATGGAACGAGTGAAATAACGAGTGTTCGTGATAATTGTACGATTTGCAGGCTTATAAATTCGATCGGTCAGTTAAATTCGGATCGTCTTCCAATCGAAATTAAATATTTCTTCGAATTCGATATTTTCGAAAGCTCTCGTCCGTTCCCCTCGGTCAAATAAATTAATAATAAATTTTCCACGATCAAAAGTGGAGAGCATACTCGAAAGTATCTATCCTTAATCCGAAATTCAAGAAACACTGAGGGAATAGGGGGATGATAGGAATAATGTCGCCGACTATAGGGTGTGACCTAATAAATCCACGTTGAAATTCATCGACACGTAACCAGCATAGGATTCAATTATTCCGAGCAAAGAGGAAGAGGAGAAACCGGTTATTAATTCATGGGAGTTTTTTTTTTTTTTTTTTTCGTGGATTATGTAAATCGAGTTTTATCGCTTATCGTTTGGATATCTGGCATCTTTAAAACTCGTTGAATGATGCAAAGGTTTTAAAGAACTTCGAATTTATTGAAACAGGCACGATGATCGTCGATGGGGATCGAATTATGTATCAAATAATCCCGTTACGCTTCGTTTAAATTTATCCTCGATAACATCTGTCCAGGCCACAGGAACAGAGAGAAGAAGAAAAACAAGGAGCGTAAATGAATAAATGGAACGCCGTGCCGTTGGCAAATCTATCTACGACTCGATAAATTTTTTGGGAAAAAAGAAACGAAAAATTAAAATCTTAACAAACTTCAACAATAATAAAAAGCAACAGAGATAAAAGCAAGAGAGATCGTTGGAAAGAAATGGGAGGAAAAATTTTTTCCTTCCGTTGCGATTGGGAACACGGATGCAAATTCCGTTCAGAAATTACAGAAATTATAATCATACTTATAGAAACGGATTATTTTTTTTTTTTCTTTAATCCCACGGTGATCCATTATTCATGGACTCGCGACTTTATCAACAAAGAGGGCACGATCGAGAATTAAAGAGGAGGAGGAAAAATCGAGGATTTTTCTCTGGGCCCCCGTTCCCTTCCCATCCACGATATCGTTTCTCCACCAATTTGGATCTCGTATTCTTCTTCGAGTCTAAGGATAAAGAGGGAGCGGCGAATCGTGGCCATTCATTTCGAGAACTGCACTCGAAGGAATCGCGTTTTTAATCGCGGCCCATTACGAGCGAAAAATCTCGACGATTTGTCTCGGTAATAAAGTTATTTATTTTCAAGTATTAGAGGCAGGATCTGGAGAAATGGAGAAAGTACTCGTCCGTTGAGAAGGATGGATTTAGCTATACTTTGGATAGGAAATGGTTATGAAACGAGAGATGGTTGGCGAACGATGATGGTTGGTGGTTGGATAAAAGAGGAACAACGACGACGGCGACGCTCTGTCCCCGTAAAAAGGTAACAGACGCATCTGCGGTGAATAGGCACTTCGTCCTGAGGAGGAACAATCGTCTCCGACCTGTTTGTGAAAACGGAAAAGTGTCGCTATACGTCATGCACGAGCGGTCGATGCACGGGGAATAAACGTTTCTGGAGCAAAACGACGAGAGAAAAATACAAAAGGGTCGAGGAGGCAGGAGATATTCAGGCGCCGCTGTATTTTTTTCTTTCTTCCTTTTTTTTCTTTTTCCTTTTTTTTTTTTTTTTTCTTTTTTTCTTTCGTTGTGAACAGCCGCGAAATATTCCAAACTCGTAATCGAAAATAGACGAACAGATAGAAATTGATCTATCCTTTCCTCGCGACTTTCTTCTAATTCCGAATTTGCCAGGATTCTTAATTATTTTTAATTTCGAACTCGGTGTATTCTGACGTATTGCGATGATCACATTTTTATCGACGAAAAATGAAGTAGATATTAGATAAATAAATAGATAATCCGAATGGATCCTCTTCGTTAAGAGAAGTTAATTCCATTATTGTCTCTTTTCCATTATTAAGTCGAGCGGATATATTTTCGTCCCCGCATTCTCGTTCTCGATTTTTGGATTCTTTTTCTTTTTGTTTTTTTTTTTTCTTCGAATCTTATTCGCGTTTGTTGCAGTTTATCATCGTGTTCCAATGGTTAAAAAACGAACGGGCACTCGTTAGCAGAGAATGAGCTCGTGCGCAGCGTGTGTATTGATGTAAACGAGAAAAAGGGATTAAAAACGGGGGAATAATCCACGGCAAAGTGGTCTCATTTATGTATGCATGGTTTAACCCCAGCAGCATTTCCACTTGGCATAGTCCTCTTTTTCTCTATTTTTTTTTTTTTTTTTTTTTCTCCCCTCTTTACTCGCCACGCTAACGCTAAAATCGGTGAAGTTTTTTAATCACCGCCACCCCACAGGCCACCACGATATCTGACGTGCCACGCGTCGAGAATCGTAATTGCATTTCAAAACGGTGCGCCGCCAGCGCCATCCCGCTCGACCTGTTAACGCGGACGGGAAAGTTTTTGGCTGACTTTGGATACCGCCTTATTGGGGGTGGCTGTAACGTCTCCCCCAATGGAAAATATCTAGCAAAGGATGAGGAGAGAATCGATCGAAGAGAATTAAATTCCATCGTGAAATTCAGTGGAATGCTAATGAAACTTCGACTCCAGATGTCCGGATCCAACCTGTTTCAACCAAAGAATAATAATAGTTGGTTCGAAATACGTACAGATCTAACTCACGTTTTCTCTTCTCCTTCCTCCTCGGCCATTTCCATCTTCTCTTGCTCTTCGTTTACACGTAATTATCGTTAACACGGCAAATATCGTTAACAAGGAAACCGGTTTTCTAGCGTGGAAAATGGATCGGAGAAGACAGAGCTGCAGAGCTTCAGAATCGAGTCTCCTGTTCGTGTTAGCAGTTCACGTGCCCTTGAGATCAGGCATGTCGAGCCATCGGGACCAACTTTTGTACGTTTCAATAATTAAACGTAAACCGATTATCGTTCGTTAACGGATTCAACCGGACGAGTTCACGCGTTGAAAAGTTCTCTTTCTCCAAGGGAATTAAACGATCCTCCGTTCGATGAATTTTCATCCGACCGAAGAGGCTTTAATTTCATTATCCGCCTTTTTAATTTCTAATTTTAATCGACTTCCTCCTCCCCTCCACCTTACCAACCCCCTCCCTCTTTCCTATTCCCCTATTCCGGTTATATAACGCGATGATTTCTTTTCTCCTCGAAGAATATTTCCACGCTTTCTATTCTATACGCGTGCCATTTCTTTCTTTTCTTTTTTTTTTTTTTTTTTTTTGCGCGTCATCGAAATATTGCCTCTTGCGGAGAAAGAGTGCACCAATTGGTTTACCAGTTCAAGAAAAAAAAGATATCTTGCTTTATAGCCTCTTGATGGTGAATCTGGCGCTGATACTCCATTCGACCGGCTCGAGATCCCCGAATTCGAAGCTCGCGGAGACCCTCCATCGCCCCATCCGGTCCCTCACGTTTCCGGAAGAGAGTACCTTAGGCGTGAGTGTCAAGGGAGTGAGATAAAAACGAGGAGGGGGGGGGATTAAAATTCGATTTCGAGCGAACGAAATGAAAGTTAGAGTTGACGGTGGTGGTTAAACGATTGTGGTGTGTCTCTCTTATTCAAGATATTCGTCGCGTTGGCCATACCGCTCGAGGATCCCTACAAATCCATCTCCATAGCCGATTTCTTCGAGGCGACGTACGATCTACCCACTAACGTAACCGACGAATACCTCTGGCTCAACGATGGAAAACGAAGGAAGAGGAGAAGTTTGGACAGGGTGACCCTTTATCGAGTTATAGAGAACAAGTTTGACAAGTGAGTGAGGGAAACGAACGCATTCCTTTTATAATATATAATAATAAGTAAGATTCTAAATTGGAAAATAGAAATCTCTCGAATATATCGAATTTTATATTATTTCATCTTCTAATCATTTATCCGAATATTGATGCAAGGATATTAAAATTGTTCGAGCTCGAATTGTTCGTCTCTCGTCCAGACATTTGCTTCCTTTTTTTTTCTTCTTCTTTCCTTTCTCCTTTTCCTTCATTTTTTTAAATTTGACGAGGGAATTCGAACGTTATCTGAAAAAAAAAAAAAAGAGAAAAAGAAAAAGAAAAAAGTTGGGGAAACGCGGCTATGGATGGACGAAATTCGAGCTTCTTTATTCTACGCTGTGATAGAATAACGCGAGGAACGTGGAAAATGTAGAGGAACGTAGAAGAAAATATATAGGTTCACGGTTCTGGTGACCCAGAAGTCGTAGTAGGTCAGCCACGGGACGGTCTTATTTTATTTTTCACTTTGCTCCCCTGACTTTGTGCACAGCTACGGGTATCAGGGTCACGAATGCCTGCTGAGGGCCATTTGCGAAACTTCGGAGCACTCCCTCCTCAGACATAACGGACTCATTGGTGACATTCTGCACGTGATCTTCACGTAAGTTTCTTCGTTAACTTTTACATAACACCGTCCAACCTCCCTCCCAAACACTGATAATCGGCCCCGTTTCCGGCCACTCCCATCCCTTCCTACCCTAATCTGCCCTTTTAACCCCCACCCATTCCTTCAACCTCTCTCTCCGTTAATTCCGGATAAGCTAATTTTCTTTCCCTTCGCAATTTCATATCTCGCTCTATGATAAACTTTGTTACTATACATTAAACCATTAACCGCAATTAACACAATTAACTGTTAATAGGCAAACGCGATATATATATATATATATACTATTTACAGTTACCCTTTCAAATTGGATAAAATCGAACGAGTATAATCTATCAACAATAATAATAATAATAATAATCGTCAATTTCTTTGGGAAAAAATTGAACCGCCAACAAACATTGACCTCTTGGAAAATCTGTCAATTTTCCAAGAGTTTTTGTCCAAGGAATCTAATTGAATATTTCAAAAAAGAAAAAAAAAAAAAAAAAAGAGAAGCCACCCTTTCTTGCGTTACAAGAATACAATTACCCGATGGAAGGAGGAGGAACTTACCTCTCATCTCTCGAAGTAAGAGGGGCCGGATCATTTCCAACCCTTTAAAATCCGGCGGAGGAAGATCGAAAGAGGCGGGCTTGTCCATGGACTGGGCTTGGAGAGAGAGAGAGAGAGAGAGAGAGAGAGAGAGAGAGAGAGAGAGAGAGAGAGAGAGGTAGCGAGGGGCCATTGTTCGCGCGGAGCATAATGCGCTAAAGGATTCAGCTGGAAATTTATTCGGCGCGACCTCCTTTCGCGCGGCGAAGAGAGGGGAAAAAAGAAAAGAAAAGAAAAGGAAGAAAAAAAAAAAAGAAGAAAAAAAGAAGAAAAAAAAAAAAAAAAGAAAAAGAGCCAGGCCTTTTTTCGGCCGGTCCAAGGCGGCGCAAATTGGAGTAGATACACAGACCGTGTAGAAAAGCAAATTTGGTTTAGCTTTCTCGCTTCTCACGTACGTACGCCCGAGCTCCTTCCCCGCCCACCCCTCCCCTCGCTCGTGCGCGAGTGTGCGCGCACGCTGTGGTGCACGCGAGCTCGTGGGTGGATAAACTCTCGAGCCAGGGACGTATGAATAAAAAAGAGGGCCCGCAGGCGGCCGTGACGCCGCGCCGCATTGTCGTAGTCCTCGTCGTCGGCCGGCGACATCACCGAACGTCGTGAAAATTCCACGAGGCCGGATCTACTGATCCATGGGAAAATGATGTGCTCGTTTATTACTTTACGACGACGCTTCCTCTACGATTTCTTCTCGATTCAACTGTGACTGAATAATAATGAATACAGAATCGAGAGATGTGTCGAGTGAGACAAGTGTTATGCTTTTTTCAACTTTTTTGGGGAAAAAATTGTCGACACTCGTCCTCAGATCTACGCACGTCTCGAAGTTAAACGAACTTCTGCGAAGCGTGGAGATGTCATGTCGGATGATTTCTTTGATAAGAAAAAGAGACTGTATATATATATAGGTGATTAAACGGAAGCGACGAAGAGTTGTTTGCCTCGAGAGAGGACAAGGAGGAATAAAAATTGCAAACGAAGTTCGTTTTTGTAGTCCGAATCTCCACGCTCGAGGAGGAATTGGAGAATATTTCTCTGAATTATGGGGACATTTTGGATTAATTCTTTAACGAAGCCAACCGTGATGATTAAACAGGGGAAATAGAAATGGATTCGGACCAAGAATTGTTTATCTCGCGAGAGAGAGAGAGAGAGAGAGAGAGAGAGAGAGAGAGAGAGAGAGAGAGAGAGAGCAAAGTACAGAGGGTTGAATAAAAATTGCAAATGAGCTTCGTTTCTTCTTCGTCGAAGTTGTTATCGCGTTATAGTGGAAGCGTTGTCCTTCTTGAGAGTCATTTCGCACCGGGTCTCGCGGGTAATTTGAAGGAATGAAAGGGGATAAGGAGACGCGAAAGAATCATGGAAGCGGCTTTGCCTTGCCGCTTCTAACTGCGAACGAGGCTTTATTAAACTCGCTCTTTAATAAAGATATCGTTGCACAAATTGTGTAAATTGTTCCGTAATACGAATCGCGATTCGATCGAGATATAACGAGAAAATTGGGGGGAAACGTATCGATAACTTGCCCATTACTCGGGGAGCGACTTTCGAACTTTCAACATTCGTAAGGACAATGAACTTAAGAAAGGAGAACTTTTTCGATTCTTCTTCGCCCTCTTATTTTTCCAAAGAAAAAGTGACCGCGCTTTCAGATTGCATCGGGAAAGAGTGAGATCCGATTTTTCGTTCCGTGTACTTTAAAAATAAATCCAAGGGGCGGAGAGAATTTATTCGAGGCGAGAAACCACGAGCGAGCGAGATCTCGGGTCTCGCTCTGATAACGAAATTATATTGTTTTTCACCTCGTATCTCTGCCGCTGGAAGGTTGCAATAAAGCAGAATAAGTGAGAAACCGGCGAAACCCGTGTTTCCTCCATTCTCCAGTCCCCGAGATTCGAAATAAGAAGGGACAAGAGGCGAAATAAAAGCGCGATGAAACCGTTCTTACTCGTTTTTTACGAGCACGCGACATATGTCCCGTTTCCCTCCCACGGTAATCGTCTCTTTTCGGTGATTCGTAGGGACGACGGTGGTCTTTTTGGTGGTCAGGTGTATAAATACAGGTGTATAAATAAATTCGAGAGGGAAATCCCATATTCTTTCACTCACGTTTCAAGACACCTCGCTTTTGGAAAAATACTTTCCACTCCACGTCCTTCGTTACTTTCGAGATCCGATTTTCCGAAAAATCTTTCAATCTTTTCTACGGCAAAGTATCGAGGATTCTTTGAAGGAACAAGCACGGAAGAACGGGAAATAGACTCGACCAACGACTTCAACTCCTTTGACGAGTGTTTCCGTGCAGTCATAACTCCATCTTGTATAGATCTTTATTTTATTTTATTTTTTCCCCTTTCGTCTCTCGCCAACGATACAACAGATGTCGCTACTGACACTCGCCTTTCGAATATCCTTTCGACGTTATTTCTCGCTGCTTCCACGATACAAATACAAATTTCTCGCAGGGCAATGCGAGAATCATCGTTGAACGGCGTTAAATCGATCCAATGAAAGAATCATACAATTCTGGAACTCGTTACCGAGCCGTATCGCGGTATTCATGGGGGGAAAAAATAAGGGTAGAAGAGAGAGAGAGAGAGAGAGAGAAGAAAGAGCTCCTTATTATCGTCCAGATGGTACGTACGTACAGTGGGCGTTGTTGTTTTCAGACCGACAAGCTCGCGACACGAACTACTGCCGCAGGACATTCTTCAGGCTGAAGTGGTCGGACGTAATGGAAGCTGCTCCGAGTACCGACCGCAATGCCCCGTGGGACTCTTCGACTTGATTGGAGTCCTCGGTTGAGCCCAGAAAAACCACCAAGGTGTACCGCCGCTTGCACTCCGATCGGGTAAACAATTCGATTTCACGCTTCCACTTTCACGAGATACTCCCTGTTCCAGTTTCCAGCGATTCCGAGTGCTTGGAATATCGTAATGGATTGATCGTTTCCAACGATTTATCGTAAACTACAAGAAAAGTTTAAGTAGGGACGACCAACTTTTTTTTAACTCGACGAATCGCGTTTAAAATTAAAACTAAATAATGTAAGTAAATGTAAAAAAAAAGTCGAGATATCGAGTTCGAACGATTTGTTGTTGAAGAAAAGAAAATTTGAAATGGAATTCGATATTATTAAATAAATATCGTTGATTCTAATTCTTCTCGATAAGATCTATGAATTTACGTCTGAAAAATGAATAATAGTAAAAAATATTGTTACACTGTTTCTATAAGAAATTGTTAAAAATTGTATCGTAATTGATTTAACAATTTTTTTTTTTTTTTTTAATTAAACGTTCAATTAATTCTCGAACATTGTAAATAAAGAAACAATCTCAGAATTGATTCCGAGTCCATCAAACAACCCCTTTCGCAATTCGCGCGGCTGTAAATTCCTGAGATTTCCTTCCCTGGATTTCGTCCCGCAACATCACGTTTAATTACAACCCTTCCAAAACAACGAAAGCGCGCGAAAGAAACAATAGCTTAGCTACCCTATAGGCATGACAATACGGGGCTCTAAAAGTCTCTCGAATAATCCTATCACGGATATATACAGCCTCGCATACAGATTTATCGTCCTCTCAAGGAATAAAATTGCGAGTTTCGTCGAATAATTATCTTCGCGTAACACCTTTCTTCGTACCTTTCTGCGCATCGATTGTCGGTCCACTCTCTAGTTATTCTTTCGAGACGATCCTCGAGCTCTCCCATTTCTCAATCAACCCCTCTTCCACTAACGAGAATTTTACATCACGAAATCCTAATATCCTAAGCTAAGTTTACCAGCATTGTGGAAGAGGGGGAAGAGAAAGAAAGGGGGAGAAAAAAGTTCGACTCCTGATACGTATAATAGGCAAGCAGGGTTTATGCGGCAACTTCGTAAAACCGGTTGAATTTTACCGGAGTATGGTATGGGTGTGAGGTCCACGGGAATTTCGACACTGGGCGGAAGTAAAGCCGTATACTTTACAACGCCAACTTCCAACGAAACTTTCGCCAAGTTTCATTATGAATTTAAGGGAGAGAGAGAAATAAAGAGAATGATAGAGTGTGGTTAACCATACGTGCGAGTACGATACATTTTCACGCGTTTCGATTGGCTGACAATTAACCGGACGAATTGTAAACTTTTAGAAAACGTTTTTGCCGCGTATGATTGGCTGCATCGTAAAATTATTAACATCGGATCAACGTCAAATTTTGCCGGACGACGGATTCGTATTTACCCCCCCCCCTCCTGTTTATCGCGCGTTTGCAATTATCGCGGATTAATGTAGAGGGGGGGGAGGAGGAGGACTTGCGAATTTGGCCATGCTCGTCCGTGTAACTCGATCCGACAAAATCGGGATCAGAGGTCCCCGTAATCTGGGAAATCGGAATTTCCATTGGACGAGAATTGGACGCCGGTTTGGACGCGTCAATGGGACCTATTGTCGAGTTATTACGCTCGAAACCTCGCGCGCGTGTTTGCTCTCCGATTAGAAACTTAACATTAACCATTTCGCCGGTGTTATTGAACCATAGAAACCGTTCTTCCAACGCATCCAGTGCTTAAATAAATCGTCCATCATCGCGTGGAATAAATAATAAGATATCAACGAAGCAGATTCAGATTCGAGCATTGAACGGTCTCACGGTAATCGACGCGTGGAAAATTCACGGAGCGAGGTTTAATCAGGTGGTTGGCGACCGCTCGAGAGGCTCGATCGGTTAATGAATTTCGAAATTGGTCTGTTAATCGATTTCCTTTACACCCCGTTCCCCGTGGCGTGGGATATACACGGCCCTCGATCACCCTCGAACAGGATTCCTGGCAAGGCGACATTGCCAGAATTTACGACAGGCTGAAAACTTTCGCGAAAATCTTCGCCACAGTCTATCGAAGATCTCGAAAGAGCCGCACAATTCCCGGCCAAAGGTCTTAGGAAATTCAAACGTTTACAACCAACTGTGGGGGAACTGTTAAGACGTTCACCCAACTTTCCAGCTTTTCCGGACCAACGTCACACGGCCCCAACTTTACTCGATTAAAACTCGCCAAATCGAATTCTCGTGAGCTTACCCGTGTTTCAAGCGTTTTTATATACATATGTATATAATATCATATTCTTTCTCTTTTAATTTTTCAACGAATTACAATTTTTATCATTAACTAACCTCGATGCTTCGAATATTCGTCCACTCACCAAAGTTGCGAATAAAATTTGTTTTGAATAAAATTTATCGATCGATCGATCGGATCATCTATGTAACGAGACGAATAGATGGATCCGCGAAACTATGAGTCCACGTGTCTGCACGGAGGTTTTCTCAACAGACGAAAAGGAAAAAGGGAGAAAGTGACGAACGACAAGTAATGGATAAGTCGATGCGTTTGACACCGATATCGAATATGCGCCCTCTCGTGTATGAAGCAAAGGGTCGAAGAGGCCCCCGTAAGGGATTGCACGATTATTCGTGGGGCGTAAACCACGTACGAGGGCAGAGAAATGAGAGTAACTCCATGTTCATAATCTGTTCATCTCTTGTCGATTATACGTAACATATAACGTAACCTAATAAACTATCTAAAAAAGAAAAAAAGAAAAATCGATAGCCAGAGTTGGAGATTAATTAGAAATTCTATGGCGGAGTTTGTGGTTTGTGGTTTCAGAAGCGTTGTCACGACAAGAATTTCACCAGCAAGCGGCAAGTAAAATGTCGAAACAAAGCGTACAAATGATTCTGTCGATAAGAGGACAAACACGTGAGAGACCTGCTCCACCACCACTTCTCTAATTAATCGGGCTTGATTCGAGAGCGTTCCCTTCCTTCGACAATTCCTCTTGTAAGACGCGAAGATTGATTAACGTTAACACCTCCTCCTCGATTTTCACGAACGAAACGTCTATGATGACTCGGCTATCCCCGAACCTTTGCAACATTTAAGTTGGCGAAAAAGCTGCGCGGGGAGGAGGGGGCCAGATTCGAAGGCAGGTAAATGTAGACCAGTGTAACTTTTGTTGCGAAATCCCCGCTCAAAGGAGCAAGTTGCAAATGAATTTTCAGTTAAATACTTGGGAGCAAGTTTTTGCAGCAAAGTGTCGTTAGCGACGTTTCTTTGATGTATCCCGTAAACCTGAGCGCGGCAAAGGAGGAAGAGCTCGAGGAGTGTCTTGAGAACTTCTCTGAAGAGAACCTTTTTATTTCGATCGACCTTTGACTCGCGAATCTTTCCGCTAACGGAGCCAACATGGATCTCCTTTTTCAAGGATCCGTACACGTTACTTCTTCGTATCTTATTCCCGTGAATCTCGAATCCCCTCCCTCCCCCCCCCCCGTTATTACTCCTCTCCATCTCGAGCATCTTGCGTGATCCGAGCCTTCCTCCCTTCCTTCTTCTTCCTTCTTCTTTTTTAAATATTTCTGGTTTGAAATATTAAAAAATAAAAGTACGAGGGGGAAAAATGGCAGCGAATCTCGGGAAGGAATGCGGGGAAGCATCCGGGAGGAACGCAAATTCTTGTCCCGCAACAAACACTTATTAGAGGGGGAGGAATGTGCTTTCTTCATTCATGGGCGGAGGGAGGGAGGGAGGGGGAGGGGGGCGCCCTTCTCTTTAAAGAACTCCTCGACTCGTACATTTTAATAAGAAGACGTGGTGGAGGAGGGGAGGGGAAAGGAAGGAAGGACAAGATAAGAAATCACGCGGAACGATAAATCTAAAAGTTCGCCGGCTCGTAGTTTTCCGCAGACCTTCCCCCCTCTCCTCCTCCAGAGAGAAAAAAAAAAAAAAGAAAAGAAAGAAAGAGGAAAGAAAGATCGATCCTCCATCATCAACTTCCCTCCCAGATTTTCGAATATCCGGAAAACAAATTTTCACTCTTCGTGCCCGTTAAGGATAGTTGTCAATGTCGGGATCGATTCTCGCCCGTTCCCGTTGTCCATTTACGAGAAGTTGTCGATTGAACCGGACAACCTCTTCTCCGACACTCCGTCGACGATTCGCCCATTTGATTTTTGCCCATCGATCGCCGATGGAAGTTCGTTAACCGGTGATTACAATATTTATACGGGCGAATTGAATCCCCTCCTCCTCCTCCTCCTCCCTCCCCCTCTTTCTCTCTATCTCTCTCTCTCTCTACAGGATTAATTACTTTCCGCGAATTTCACCGAATAATCCGATCCAGTAATAACTTCCATTGATTCGCCACTCGAGGACGTCGAATCGCGATGAAATTTGCATATCGACTCCGAGAAATTCGTATGCGCCTTCCTCCTAAGGATTCTTAACTCGGATTATAACTTGGGGGATATCCATCGATTCGATATGAGAACGAATCAGCGATTATTTCGGATCGAATCGAAAGAAGTGGTTTGAAATTTGAATTGGTAGATGAAAAAAAAAAAGGGAGGGGGGGAAGATCAGAATTTTCGATTTCGGATAAAAAAAAAACAAAGCGAACGTAGAGGATCAATGACAAAAAAAAAAGGAAACGGCAAAAAGTTAATTTCGAAATCTAATCAACGCGAACAAAGCTGGAAATATCGAAAAGGTACGAGTTACAAGTTCAAAGAGTCACGCGACATAGGAGACCACTAAGCTTCCAACAGCGTTGTATTCCGTAACGATGAGGCAATCTGATAGGATTCGAGTTCGGGAATATAAAGCCCACCGTGGCCACGATTAAACCCTCTTAGTAGTACGTTGATTACCAAAGAGGACAGTAGGGACAACGGTTGGTTGGCCGACGAAACGAAAATCGATGGTCACTCTTTCGACTCTCTCTCTCTTGAGGAACTCTCGTTTTTTCTTTCTTTTCCATCCAAATCCATCGAGTCGACTAAACCATCGTTCGTTTAAAACTTGACAACGCAACGAACGTTGTTATCGGGATATTTTAACGGTCTTCAGAAAGAAGCTCGCTCGAAAGAAAATCTTTGACAAAGATCTTTCGCGAGTTACAAAGAGAATTCAAGAAATAAAGAGAGAGAGAAAGAGAGGAGATAAAATGGACGAGCGAAGGTAAATAGTAAAGCTTAAAGAAAAAAAGGGAGAGAGTTAGGGCGAT